GTCGTGGACAGTGAGTGGAACAATAAAATTTTTTTACGATTATGCGATTGACTCTGGAGGAGTGCACCTGCCAGGCGTTGTTTGTGGTTGAAAACACACAAAAAAAGGCAGGGGTGGATGTAGCTAGGGTGGGCCTAACTACTAGTTACAAATCTGATAACGAACGAGAAGCCGAGACGCAGTATTGCAGTCTGACGCAACCGATGGCAGGTGGCTTATTGAAGTCGGACTGATAACAATCTCAAAGCCAACGCGTGCTATTTTGGGAAACGGTACGAAGAGAGTCAGAAGGCCTGTCAACTTTGATTGATAGGATGCAGATGTTATTTCACGGACTGTACGCTAGAACTGCGTAACTAGTGGTCGGAGACATCGAGTACAAGTATCGATTACGGAGGAATACAAGTATGCAGACGAGTACGGATACAAGGCATAAATAGGAGGGGACGACTGAACTCGCTCTCTTACGGCTCTCTTACGGCTCTTACCGCTCTTCCATCTTCATCGCTCGCTTTAGATCAGTCAGTCTGTGTGACATACTCAAGTTGGTTATATTGTGTTAAGAAGGACAATAGACATGTGGATTCAGTTATATGAAGCCTAGTGAGGACTGTTAGGGGGTCAGTTGATTCAGACTATTATTGTGAAACATTTCTGTTGATTCATTGTGTTATATTGAAGCATTTCTTGATTCATGTAATAAAAGGATCAATAGCGAACCTGCATCTTCGAGTCTTTCTACTGTAGTCGATGTTGTGTAGCATGAGTGGTTCAACTCGTTACAATTGGCGTTGTCGGGCAGGATAGACTCGGGGAAGGTCACATTTGGCGTTGCGAACAGGAAAGATGCAACTAGCCTAGGTCACATTAATTTACATGCATTTTTTGAGAAATCGGAAATAGCGTAAATTATATCCTGTCAACGGAAATTACTCAAAATTTGACAGAAGGTAGAAAATTAGATCTTTTATTTACATGTGAAATTTCATACTTATATATGAAATTTCATCAACCTAGCTGTAACGGTACTCAAGTTATCGTGTTTACACACAGACAGACAGACACACACACACACTAACATACGGACAATATTGCAAAATTTTGTTTTTCCGTATCAGTGAGGTGTAAAACGTCGAGATTTGTAAAAATCTCGATTTTTTTTTACTTTCTCTATAAAAAGAAATGAACTATTTCATTCAAATATTATTTAGATCTACGTGCGCTATAAAATTTATACAATACAATTTTGCTCGGACTAAACTTAAAAAAAAAATTCTATTAGGATTCTAAATCTAGATATTCTAGATCTAGATATTCTAGATCTAGATCTAGATTATCTAGATCTACGGAAAACTAGACTTACACAGATGTAGACCCTACCTAAATCTAGAATCTATTCAAATAATACATTTCTATACTAAAGTATTTCAGGCCTTAATTACTTTATTGAAATCTTTTTTTATCTATACAATTTGCTAATCTCTATAATATATAAAGCAAAGTTGTCGGGTGCCCGATAGGGCACTTCCCGGCGCCGCAGGCGCTTCAAATTTGACAGGATCTTGCCTTGGGGCGACAGAACACGGGGGCCGGTTGGCCGAAAAGTCTACGATGAGGGGGTCAAAACTGACCTCGACTGACCGGCGCCTTATATGAGCTATAAATCTAAAAAAAAATGTCCACGTAGGAACCTCTGAGGTCGTAGACCGACCCTCTAGCGAATTAATTATGCATTCAAATTCTCAATGTTTTCGAAAGCCTAAGCAAAGCTGGGCAGCATGCCTAGTAATTATTATAAATCTAGACAGTTAATTGTAATTTATTTACCCTGCAAGTGTGTAAAAACATAAAAACAGAATACATGTGAGGGGGGGGGGTTGTTGCGAGGCATTTTATATATGTTAAAGAATCAGCTTAAAGCGGTTTTAATTTTGTTTGATTCCACTGGAACATAACTTATCCCTCCTACACCTACACCTACACCTTAAATTACTTTTACATCGGTCCGTGTTTAACCATCAACTTCGCTATGTCAGTCCCTCCCTACAACTGGGACATTTTTTCCCAAATTGAACACCTATGTAACACATAATCTCAAAACAAATCGTCTACCGTCAAGTTTACACCGTCCTTATTAGTCTACAAGTCTAGTCTTATTTTTATCTATCTACGCTATGACAATACGCAAACAGCCCCTCATACAAATACCTCCCTCAGCCTCGACACTATTTGTTTTTAAATTGTTTTCAAAACATTTTCTATCGGTAACGATGTCAGGTAAAGTGACTGCTGGTTAAATAAGGCAAAATTAAACATTAAAGATCAGAGAGTATCTGATTGATCTAAGTAATGCTTGTTAATACTTGGTGAAATTTTAACTCATACTTCTGACAAACTTCATACTTAAAAAAATAATTTAACTAAGCTATTAAAAATCAATGACTATTTGCTATAGTTGAGAAATCAAAATTCGAGGGCCCCTGGCTGCAGCCCTTTCAGCACCCCCCTTAATCCGCCACTGCCTATACCTACACAAAGAAAATTTAACCTCTCTTCCTGACCTAGTGACCTAGACCATAACGTGAGAAGCGGGGCGCCTAGCGTGTGCGTCCGTTAAATCCGGCTTAAACAAAAAGGGTGACTAAATAACTGGAATACAACTTGACATTTTTTTCAGGGGGTCGGGGGGGGGGGGGGGGGAGAGTTTGGGAGAACTTAATTCCCTGTTGTGGGGGGGGGGGGTGGTGGACACTGGTTAAAAAAAAGTCTTTATACATTACATTTTGTTCGGGGTGGGGAGGGGAGGCGGTATAGATACTTTCAGGGGGAAAGGGGGGAGGGGGTTTGGAGATATGTCTGAAAACAACATTGCTTATCTAGCCTAGTGTTGCACACTATAATAATAAAACAATGAGACCTTAAATATCATCTTAAAAAAGACACACACAATTTATAAATAGTTACTGCCCTGTTCCAGTACTGACACTGACGCTTCCAGACCGGTAGCTGTAAAGCAACTTCCTTTTATAATGTAGCTACATATACACATCAACTGGCCTGCTATGTTATGAAATGCATCTTTACATAAACTTCCTTGTTATATGGTAGCTACACATACACATCAACAGCAGAGTTTCTTCCAGGCATCTCTTCGGGGGGGGGGGGGGTGGCTAAGCCCCCCCTAAAAAATTTTACCGCCCCCCCCCGAACGAAATGAAATTTATATAATTTATATACAAAATATATACTTTTAACAGTGTCCGCCCCCCCCCTGAAGAAAGTCTACCCCCCCCCGAATATTTCAAGTGCCCCCCCCCCCCCCCGCCCCGGAGAAAAATGTCTGGAAGAAACACTGATCAACAGGCCTGCTATGTTATGAAATGCATCTATACATAAACTTCCTTTTATAATGTAGCTACACATACACATCAACAGGCCTGCTATGTTATGAAATGCATCTATACATAAACTTCCTTGGGGGTCATCCATAAATGACGTCACACTCAAGGGGGGAGTGGAGTCCGTAATTTTGTAACGATGTGTGATGAGAGGGGGGGGGGGGGGTTCAGATCTTGCGACGTCACATTTTTGCATTATAAAAAAGCAATGTTAGAAAACGAATTTTAGACGTTATTTCGCGTTTTAGATAACTGTTTTAATAAATTGTAATAGTTTAGACAAGATTTTGGAAAAAAAATTCATAAAAAACGTTTTAATAACAAGCTTTTATGTAATGATGCACTAAAAAGTAGAAAATAAATTATAGACTACTATTTAAATAACTATAAAGAAAAGCGTGGGTCACTTTAGTATCTATTGGATACCTTTACTAATGTTAAGGAAGACACCCACGCTTTTCTTTATAGTTATTTAAATAGTAGTCTATAATTTATTTTCTACTTTTTAGTGCATCATTACATAAAAGCTTGTTATTAAAACGTTTTTTATGAATTTTTTTTTCAGTACTTTACATGTTTTATTTACAATAGAGTTACATGACTAAAAACCATTGCGCGCCTACTGAACATCACGTTCAGTAGGCGCGCAATGGTTTTTGAACGCAGCCATTACGTGATGGCGCAGCTATTGAAGGTGATGACGCGTGTGGTGTGGTTGGCTAGACATGCCTACTAATTCGGTCCAAATTTTAATTAATTCATAAAAAATTAATTAGGCATCCAATTAAGTCAAATTTAGTTTCATATTGCATTGTCTTCATGTCTTGACCCACGTGCCAACTGTGAATCGTATCGGTCAAGTAGAACTGTCCGAATTTTCACTCCTACGTTTCTATCTAGACTGACGACAGACTGTCGACAGACAGAGGAAGTGAGTTAAATAAAAGCTTGTAAAAATATCGATGTTTAAAAAAAAAAAAATTCAACTGCAATTTTGAGGGGGGGGGGTTGTAGGTTGAGGTGTGACGTCATTTTAGGGGGGGGGGGTCTGGCTTTTTGTGACGACGTGTGACGAAGGGGAGGGGGGGGGGGGTAAAAATCGTCAAAAAAGCGTGACGTCATTTATTGATGACCCCTTATTATAATGTAGCTACACATACACATCAACAGGCCTGCTATGTTATGAAATGCATCTATACATAAACTTCCTTGTTATAATGTAGCTACACATACACATCAACTGGCCTACTATGTTATGAAATGCATCTAAACATAAACTTCCTTGTTACAATGTAGCTACACATACACATCATCGTGCCTGATATATTATGAACTGCAGCTATACAGCAACTTCCTTGCTGTAATGTAATGTAACTGCACATACACGACAACAGTCCTGCTATATTAGGACTTGCAGCTATACATTTAGCTACACATATAGGGCCTACATATACAGGCCTGCTATATTATAACCTACAGCTATACAGCAACGCCCTTACTATAATGTTACTACTCATAGACACAAACAGCCCTTCTATACTAAGCCATGCAGCTGTATAACAACTCTCTTGTTATAATATAACTACACATACACTAACATACCTGCTTTACTTGGACCTTCAGCAACAGCCCTGATACAGTGTAAGACAGTCGACAACGTTTTCCGTCTCTATTTACATCATTAACCAGGATGTGTAACTCCGGATGTAACACTTGTGATATCATCTCGTTTCCGTAAATAATATTATTCCCCCTTAATCAGGATGTGTGCTATGTATAAAAATGTATTGCAGCAGGATGTAAGCGTCTAACCAGGAGTCTCCAAACTTTTCAGTCCGAGGGCCGCATTAGCTATCAAATTTCAGTTCGGGGGCCAGTTTCTTCCAGGTATGTCTTTGATTTTTCTGGGCAAAGTTCCTCAGCCATCACCAGCAAACGTTTTTACCGTGGAAAAAAAGATCTCCGCGGGCCGGATGAAAGGACCTCGCGGGCCGCATCCGGCCCGCGGGCCGTAGTTTGGAGACCCCTGGATTAATTAAAGTACACATCGACAATTATTACTAGAGGGTGGGGTGACACCGTGATGAATAGAGAAAAAAAAGTGCTACATCCAACAGACAATGAATAAAATCGTTATAAAGTGATAAATGTTTATACACATAGGCTATATATATTTATATTATAGGCCTCTTTTGGCCGACACACACACACACACACACACACACACACACACACACACACACACACACACACACACACACACACACACACACACACACACACACACACACACACACACACACACACACACACACACACACACACACACACACACACACACACACACACACACACACACACACACACACACACACACACACACACACACACACACACACACACACACACACACACACACACACACACACACACACACACACACACACACACACACACACACACACACACACACACACACACACACACACACACACACACACACACACACACACACACACACACACACACACACACACACACACACACACCACACACACACACACACACACACACACACACACACACACACACACACACACACACACACACACACACACACACACACACACACACACACACACACACACACACACACACACACACACACACACACACACACACACACACACACACACACACACACACACACACACACACACACACACACACACACACACACACACACACACACACACACACACACACACACACACACACACACACACACACACACACACACACACACACACACACACACACACACACACACACACACACACACACACACACACACACACACACACACACACACACACACACACACACACACACACACACACACACACACACACACACACACACACACACACACACACACACACACACACACACACACACACACACACACACACACACACACACACACACACACACACACACACACACACACACACACACACACACACACACACACACACACACACACACACACACACACACACACACACACACACACACACACACACACACACACACACACACACACACACACACACACACACACACACACACACACACACACACACACACACACACACACACACACACACACACACACACACACACACACACACACACACACACACACACACACACACACACACACACACACACACACACACACACACACACACACACACACACACACACACACACACACACACACACACACACACACACACACACACACACACACACACACACACACACACACACACACACACACACACACACACACACACACACACACACACACACACACACACACACACACACACACACACACACACACACACACACACACACACACACACACACACACACACACACACACACACACACACACACACACACACACACACACACACACACACACACACACACACACACACACACACACACACACACACACACACCACACACACACACACACACACACACACACAACACACACACACACACACACACACACACACACACACACACACACACACACACACACACACACACACACACACACACACACACACACACACACACACACACACACACACACACACACACACACACACACACACACACACACACACACACACACACACACACACACACACACACACACACACACACACACACACACACACACACACACACACACACACACACACACACACACACACACACACACACACACACACACACACACACACACACACACACACACACACACACACACACACACACACACACACACACACACACACACACACACACACACACACACACACACACACACACACACACACACACACACACACACACACACACACACACACACACACACACACACACACACACACACACACACACACACACACACACACACACACACACACACACACACACACACACACACACACACACACACACACACACACACACACACACACACACACACACACACACACACACACACACACACACACACACACACACACACACACACACACATATATATATATATATATACATTGTTTCTTCATTGTTTCAAGAAGTGCCGCACCGGGTAAAACCCGACCTATATATATATGTATATATATATATATATATATATATATATATATATATATATATATATATATATATATATATATATATATATAGTACGTCATATTTCTGGCAGCTACACATATGACCGTTTAGAAACCGAATCTGACAACCCTTTCCACTTAGCTCTTAGCTTATTCAAATTAAAGCATAACCAGCCACTTAACACACACGTTTCCGTCAGACTTTTGCTCTATTTCCCAGAACACAACACCATCTAGTTTACACACGAGGTGCAGTTTGGTCAGGGGTTAGCATAAACCGGCTCTATCCCTAGACCACTATGTTCCACAAAATGGACATTTTAAAGATTGTGCTGAATCCTTTGAAGAATAGTATAGAAAAATTGATTATGAGAAAAGCCACCCGACCTAGTCTCGTAAACTTTAACTTTTTGCCAATATTTTATTTTTCGATTAGTTTCATGGTCTATGGAAAGTAACAAAACATATATTTTTAGATTTAAATTCTACTGGGTTATTTCTCTTAAATATAATACTAGTATTTATCTAAATTATGTTAAGTTTCATGTATGAAGCTTTTGTATAGGGCTCCTCATTTTTTTTCTTTTCGCCAATGTATTCAAAACTGTTTTACAATGTATATATTTTCACTAGTGAAATTAAACATTATTTATTATTTTAACATTATTTGTTTTCCCTTGAAAAAGAAGACTGCTTTTTTCTTTTCTAAAATGTCAGTAGTTTCCTTACATAAATGTTACGTGATCTTATTCGAATATTTGTTATATTTTGCTTATTGAGATTTATATCAATTTGCAAAATATTACTAGGAAGTAAAAATTATTATGATAAAAAGAAACAAAAGTAATGCAATTCCGGAATTTAATTTTTCAAATTATTTTACACCGATATATTCCATTGAATGTAAATGTTAAAAAATGTTTTTTTAAAATTAATTTTCATTTCGATATGTCTAGCCATTAAGTGAATATCAGTTATGGTTATGGTTATGGTTATGGTTATGGTTATGGTTATGGTTATGGTTATGGTTATGGTTATGGTTATGGTTATGGTTATGGTTATGGTTATGGTTATGGTTATGGTTATGGTTATGGTTATGGTTATGGTTATGGTTATGGTTATGGTTATGGTTATGGTTATGGTTATGGTTATGGTTATGGTTATGGTTATGGTTATGGTTATGGTTATGGTTATGGTTATGGTTATGGTTATGGTTATGGTTATGGTTATGGTTATGGTTATGGTTATGGTTATGGTTATGGTTATGGTTATGGTTATGGTTATGGTTATGGTTATGGTTATGGTTATGGTTATGGTTATGGTTATGGTTATGGTTATGGTTATGGTTATGGTTATGGTTATGGTTATGGTTATGGTTATGGTTATGGTTATGGTTATGGTTATGGTTATGGTTATGGTTATGGTTATGGTTATGGTTATGGTTATGGTTATGGTTATGGTTATGGTTATGGTTATGGTTATGGTTATGGTTATGGTTATTGTTATGGTTATGTTTATGGTTATGGTTATGGTTATGATCAGTGGCGTCGCTAGGTTGTTCTCACCCGGTGCGGCACTTCTTGGTGTGACCCCCCCCCCCCCACCTTAAACAATTTCATTAAATTAGCTGTAACGGTACTCAAGTATCGTGTTTACAGACACACACATAGACACACACACACACACATACATGCACACAGACATACGGGCAAGATTGCAAATTTATGTTTTTCCGACTCAGGGAGGTGTAACACGTGCGATTTGTAAAAATCTCGTTGTTTTTTTTTTTGCACTTGGCGGCTGCGCATGTTGAAGTTTTAACGCTGAATATAGTGGTACCCGTTACCCGTCATGCAGGACGCCCGACTAATGGATACCGAGTGCTAAGATAGCCGCTTTGGAACTCTGGGCGCCAAACCGTGTTTTGAGCCGCTTTGGAACTCTGGGCGCCAAACCGTGTTTTGACAAAATTATACCCTCCCGGTAGCCGCACATAATAAGTTTTAATTTTTTTCCCATTAGAATTCTTCTCGAGAGTTTTCTCATCTACCTCCCCAGATTCGTTGCACTCGGATGAAGGGTGTTGAACCGCACCCGACTTTTATTTTTATATACCGTATAATATAGCAAAATTTTGCACCCACCCGGGGCGCCGGCATCATTAAATTAAAAAAAAAAAGTGTTTTTTTTTTTTGTTGTTAAAAACCTCCCTGGAGTGTTCTTATCAACCCCAAAGTTTCATGGCGATCGGATGAAAGGTGTAGTAATGCGTACAAGACAAACAGACAGACAGACAAACACACAAACATTGCTCTATATATTGACCTATATATATATATATATATATATATATATATATATATATATATATATATATATAAGAAAACAACTATGTCAACGTATATTATATATTTTTCTAAATATTATTCTAAATAACATAACATGAAAATATGTTCACCATCATTTAGTAAATTACGTTTATTTAATTGTTTATGCACGAGGTTAAATTTAGACTTCCGTAAAAAAAAGTACATATATTTGAAAAGTTTTTGATATCTAACAACTTGTAAACATGAACAAATCTTTTTTTTTAATAAATTACCCCGGATATTACAATTCACATATGTTATAAGCGTATTATATAAATGAGGATATATATATATTCCTCTGTAACCAGAGATTCACTATCGATGTTCACTTTCTCGTGTGTAGGGGAAGAATTGTAATTGAGCAAATCAACGAAATTCCGATTTGACAACTTCGTCAGTCGGAAAATGTGCAATATTATCCGTGAGTCTGTCTAGTTAGTATGTCAGCGAGCCGACTGTCTGTATGTTTATCTGTCTGTCTCTGTCTGCCTGTTTTTCTTTTAGTCTGTCTGTTTCGTTTACATTGACAAAATTTTATAACTATTAGAAATTATATGTGGGCTTCAATCAACTTCTAGGTGATATTTGGTAATCAGAATTATTTTTTTTTACTCATTTCTATTTTACATAAACCTTCCGAATTTGATCGTTTTATCACATATAAGCAGCGTAGTCTACCACGTTCGCCACTGTTTTTCTCGAAAAGCGAGCGGCTTAGACACAAACTTACCAACCATTTCTGTAGCCCGATTCCACTTGAATATAAAAAAAAATATAAACAAAAACGTTCACCCTCGCTTGATTTTAAAATATGTTATCTGGCAGTAAGAAAATATTCTATGACGCATGAACGAATTGTTCTATAATACATAAACAGGTTGTTCTATAATGCATAAACAAATTTTTCAATTATGCAAATTAAGACTGCTGTATACAAGTATATAACATTTTAAAAGTATCTAAAAATTAACATATCAGACCTGGCGGTCTATAGGGCAGATAAAGTACAACTACATTGTTTTGAGACCCCGACAGAGCAATCTTATGATTAATTCCAAGATATAAACTTAAGCCTTCTTATGCAGCTGGTTAAGTAGGTCTAGGGGAAGTAACCTTTATTATTTTATTTTATTTTAGTATAGTGTGTAATGTTTCTTTTAATCACTTCAGTAATTAATTATGTTACAAAGGTATCTAATGTTTTAAACATTTATTTATATATTAATGTACTCCCCTAGTGTAAAATCATTAATTATAAAATCACCAGCTTTGTTTTAAAATACCACAATGAAAACAACCAAGGTCTTACTTGTACTCGACGAAAATATTGGAGACCATGGTATTGTAAAAATCAAATAATATATATAATATGTCTTTCCCTCTAATCAGGGGCGTAGCGAGGGGGGGCGGGGGGGGGGGGGCGGGGGGTGCGGACCGCACCGGGTGACACCATTTAGGGGGGTGACACCAAGGCAAAAAATAGCAGAATATATAGAGAAAAACTTGAAGGGGGGGGGGGGGTGCAAATCGAAAACTTGAGGGGGGGGGGTGCAAATCGAAAATTTGAAAGTTTGTCCACGGTAAGGGTCGCTACGCCTCTGGGGGGGGGGGGGTGACACCATTAAGTGCCGCACCGGGTGACACCCGACCTCGCTACGCCACTGCCTCTAATGCTTATGATATTTACAACAATGATTAAATAATCTCTACGATTTTGCCGTTCATAAACTATGCATTATCTTAACTGTAATGACACCATCGAAATAATTTTTTTATTGCATAAATTGTGTTATAAATCAATCATATATTTAAAATGCTTTTTACAGCTCGTTTAACTTTTTTTTAACAATATAATTTATTTATACATTTACAAACAATAAAATTAAAAAAAAACAATGCTTCATTTGCTTCATTTGATAAGGAAGGCTGTTTGATGATGGCATTTTGAATCTTCAACGTACTGTAACTCAACGAACACTGGGCAGTGGTCACTGACGTATTCACCACACAAACGACAGCTGACGTTGTCTCTAACCACATAACCTTTGTCTGTGTGATAACATGATTCATGATTAGTTGACAACAACAACGACTTTGACGAAAGATCCTTCCATTATTTTTGTAGACAGGGATAGAAATCATGTTTTTTTCAGTTCTGCATTTATAGCGGCCGTAAAAAAATAGAACTTTAGAATGACAAAAATTCAGGAATTTTATATTCTATATTATAGTAACAGTTATCAGAACAACAATAAAACAGCTTACAACTTCCTGTTAAAGATCGTACTGCTTCACTTATCCAAATGTTATCATGGATAGCAGATCCCTCTGGCTTCTCCAAACTGATGTTTGTAAACTCGTGAATGCATTGCACGTAATTTAGTGATTTCAGCTTTGTGAAGGCTGTAGTCAATACGTATTTGAAATTATATATATATATATATATATATATATATATATATATATATATATATATATATATATATATATATTATGTATATATATATATATATACATATATATATATATATATATATATATATATATATATATATATATATGTAACTAGGGGAAGTTACCAAGAGACATAACGTGTTACAGTCTGACGTCACAGTGCAGGTGTTGGCTGATGCCAAGGCGTAGTATCTCGGGAAGCGATACGAAAGACGGTCTGTCAACTTTGATGTGACAGGATGCAGGTGGCTTATTAAAATCGGACTGTACGACAGAAGCGGCGTAATTAACAGTCTGATGTAACGATTAGAATCGATTACAATTACGATTATGATAGGACCGAATATGAGTACGATTATGAAGGGGATATAAGGAAGGCGACGGCTGAGCTCTCAGTCTCTCTCTCGCTCAGTCAGGCAGTCAGTCTCTCTCGGTCAGTCAGTCAGTCAGTCTCTCTCTCTCAGTGAGTCTGTGTGGCAGTACCACGTTGGTTATATTGTGTTAAGAAGGACGTTAGACATGTGTATTCAGTTAGATGAAGCCTAGTGAGGACTGTTGGGGGTCCGTTGATTCAGACTATTATTGTGAAACATCTCTCTTGATTCAATATATTATTGTGAAACATTCTTTGATTCATGTAATAAAAGGATCAATAATGAACCTGCATCTTCGAGTATCTATGCTGTGGTCAATGTTGTGTGGAATGAGTGGTTAGACTCGGGAAGGTCACATTTGGCGTTGTCGGCAGGGTAGTCAGAGACTCGTTACATTTGGCGTTGTCGGCAGGATAGACTCGGGGACTCGTTACATATATATATATATATATATATATATATATATATATATATATATATATATATATATATATATATATATATATATATATATATACGTATATATATATACTTATTTGAAATTATATATATATATATATATATATATATACATACATATATATATATATATATATATATATATATATATATATATATATACGTATATATATATACGTATTTGAAATTATATATATATATATATATAAATATATATATATATGTATATATACATACATATATATATATACATATATATATATATATATATATATATATATATATATATATATATATATATATATATATATATATATATATATATATATATATGAAAATTATAAAAATCGATTTCGTTTTTCGTACTGAAATCTACTAATTACTTATTTTGTTGATTACATTTCTTATTTTTCTTCTTGATTAGAGGGTAGGCTCCGGGAAAAAACGGGGAAAAAACTTTTAAATTAATAAGCCTTTCTTATTTATTTCTGTATGTATCAGTTAGGGTACTTAAGGAAAATTTTTGCATGCATCAGGGACTCTTGTGAAAATATGGTTGTCATAGAAAAAACAACCTTTTGTGGAGTTCTAAAATTTTATAAAGTAACATATATATTGGCTATGTAATCATTGATCCTTCTTGTACTAAAACTAATCAGCTATACACAAATAATTTAATAAATCGTTTTAATTGAGAAGTTTTTTTTTTCTGGAGCCTACCCTCTTGTCTACTATCGGAGGGGATTTCCTCCAACACAATTAAGTATTACATATCATGTTATGCGCGATTAATTCCGTGGACTCAACCTTCAGCATGATTTTATTTCAGGATTTGCTTCAAAGTCTGTTGTTTAAAACTCGGACAATCTGCACGGCAACAGTTGTTTGATTTTGGGCAGTCGCACTCGGGACTTTTATAGTTGGCATAAATGATGCATCAAATGTTGCCGAGTTTTTAAACAGATAGCAATTCTTCATATGTGTTCACATTTATACGTGCCCCTAATCAGAGTTTCTTCCAGGCATCCCCCGAACGAAGTGAAATTTATATAATTTATATAGAATATATATACTTTTAACAGTGTCCGCCCCCCCCCCCCCCGAATAAATCTACCGCCCCCCCCCCCTTTCCAAAATTTCAAGTGCCCCCCCCCCCCCGGAGAAAAAAGTCTGGAAGAAATACTGCCCCTAATTAATATCTTATCGACAAGTCGAGAAATTTCACGCAGGAATTATCCTTTTTATTAGCGTCTTTAGCGTATATTGTATTATTTATCCAGAAACAAAGCACAACGTAAAAATACATTTAGGACATGGGTTCGATTTAATGATCCTTAGTCATTGCATAGGTTCTGTTATCACAAGAATAAAGGGTTTAACTTAATGCTTTTTAATAGTCAAAGAAAATAATTCAGAAAATAGTTGAAAGTTTAGTAATAATGTTTAAAATTAAAAAAAAAATGTGCACATTCATCATGAAATATTAATAGACCATACAGACTGCTAACTCGCTACACCCATTTTCCTATCCACCCTAGACTGATGAATCTTCCAAAAAAAATATTAATAACAATAAAAAAACACTTGACATACATGGATCTTCTGGTGACAGATTGAAATCACCCAGTATTATGACGTTCTGATCTAAAAATACAAGATAATATTATTTTTAGGTTACCGTGTCCTGTGCCATAAACCAAAATTTTCAAAATAATTCTTAACCTTTAAGCCGGTTATTGATTACAAACACAATAACCCCAACAATAATTAGACCATATGACTCATAACCTTATTTAAATCGCCTGCTAAAAGTTTAAGAGAACCGCAATATAGTATTTCTGCTATACGTGTTGAATACAGTTCAACAGGTAAAATAGTCTTAGTTGCTAAAATTGAGAAAATAATAGTTATTGACCTCTACAGTAACCAACTGCTAATAGGTCTAAACGGAAAAAAAATATTAAGGCCTAGTATTTGTTACGATTGTTTGTAACGGTTGTTGTTTTTTACTTTCTCGTATATACGAAGTATAGAGAAAGTCTTGTAATCGTGCAAAAAAAAAATCGAGATTTTTACAAATCTCGACGTTTTACACCTCACTGATACGGAAAAACATAATCTTGTCCGTATGTCTGTGTGTCTGTCTGTCTGTCTGTCTGTCTTTGTGTAAACACGATTACTTGAGTACCGTAACAGCTAGGTTGATGAAATTTCATATATAAGTATTTTACCAAAATCGTAGATCCGTATAAACTTTTGAGCGATTTCCGATAAACGGAAGTGGTACTTTTACTACTTTGAATTTTTCAAAAGTCTATAATTTGAGTACTATTTCAGATAGATAAATAAAATTTCACACGTAAGTAAAAGATCTAATTCTCTACCTTCTATCAAATTTTGAGTAATTTCCGTTGACCGGAAGTACTAATTTACGCTATTTCCGATTTCTCAAAAAACGTATGTAAATTTATAAAGTACTAATAATATTGTGCACGATTATGCACTTTTTTATTTGGCGTTCATTTGGTGTGCAATTCTTTTGTCTACGAGATTTTATTCTATTTTTAAAACTTTAAGTATTTAAAATGGATTAAAAATCATGTCTATAGCCCGAGTTCCCATCCCCTGTTGTTTTATATAAGAATATTCGAGAAAGTTTAGGGGAGATCACTCCCGGTTTATTGTATAAAAATGATCTGGGATGGTGTATTGATGAAGATGGAAGAGGGGGTGGGAGGAGGATAGGTCTCTGCTTCACTTGATTTTGTCGCACTGGCTATTTTACCCCAACCACTTTACTAAACGAAATGAATACACTAATCTGGACTATTAGTTAGTACACTCCAATTTTCATTCTACTAATAATTCATATGAATATAAAATATTTTATGTTTGTTAATTAGTTTAAAGTACACACATTACCTGGAGTAAAACAATATCCAATGAGGTCGCTTAAAGATTCAATTTCGTTTCGTACTCGGGAGTTCTGTGTTCCCCCAGCTTTTATGTGAACGCTAAGGAGATTGAAACTTGTCCCTTTGATCTGCAATACATTTATTAAACAGTTTCTTAGATATTTTACTACGTGCACTAACGTAAACAATTGATAACGGCAAGCAGTTGCTTTGCGTTGAAAAGAAAATAGTTTCAACCATACATTTGACAAAAACTAGAATATCTTAATGATTTAATTTTAAAACTTTTTGCTTTAATTAATTAAAAACTTGTAATCATGAGTGAGGCAAACCAATAAACAAAAACCCTAAACAATTTTCAATACGATTTCATAAATTATCTCTACCTTAAATGATACATAAAAGGGATCTCTAGTGAAAATTCTTTTATCACTTGTAATTTTCATAAGGTTTTCCATATCATTTTGCAGCTTCGCTATAACCACCTCTTTATTGTCCGTGAGCGGTCCGATCTGAGTTATCTGTTAAAAAAAAACAGTAATAAAAAATGTCGAAGAACAAGTTTTATAGAAACTAGTTTCTAAATATAATGAAATTTAGCATTTTGAACTATTCAACCCAGAACTCATCACTGAAGTATGATGAAATATGATGCTTAAATAAAACAACTATAAAAACCTTTACATACGCTTTTAAATGCTATGACAATAAAAATAAAATAAAACAAACTTTCTTTTGAGAAAACATTGGTTACTAGTGAAATCTCTTACTCATTTCAGCGACCAATATTTTTAATGCAAAAAGTTTGTTTTTATTTGTTTTTATTTTTTAGTGCATTTAAAAAATTATTACTATAAAAGTTTTTTTTTTTAGAAGTGGTTCAAAATAAGTTACCTGATTTACCACAAACATACACACAGAAAAAAATAGTAAGCTAAATAAAAGCTTATAAATCTAAAAATAGGTACCATTGTAAAAAGGTAGAGTTGTTTCTCAAAAGAAGGAACAACCATTAAAGTATAAAATCTAGTTAGTAAAATGCACTATACAATTTTAAGAAGAGAAATCTTTATAAATAAAAGTCAAGGATTATGATAATCAAAAAGGTTTTTATTGAACTAATTAATATGACATGCACACCACATCCCAATACACAAAGTAATACATAAAAGATGCTGTGAAATTCCAAAAGGTTTTCATTAATTACGAAACTATTTTAAATTGTAAACAAAAAACGCTAACATTTTGAAAATTGTCAAGCTGTTTTGCTTTCGCTAAATTACACTAAGAGAACAGAATAACATGTCATTCATAGTTTGAAAAAAATAATTGCAAATCAGGTTTCAATATTTTGTATCGAATTGACTGGTCATCCTTTTTCTTTGTAAATTATGAAAGTCCTTCATCTAGCAGCTTCGGTTACCGGAAATCGCAGAAAAGTTGATACTTTACTAATACTTATATATGACATTTCATTAAACTAGCTGTAAACACATAAACAAAAGAACAAAATTGCAAATCCGAAATTTTCCGACATGGAATTTTGATAAATCTGTATTTAGAATTTTTGTTCGATTAAAATAAGTTCCCTATACTATATGATGAAGTACTGAGGTGTAAAACGGTCAAAACTATCACAATTTCATGTAAGTGTGTGCACAATTACAATACCTCCCCTATACACTGGATACGAGAAAGAAAAAAAGTAACAAATTGAAAACAAACTAATGCGTTAATTTAAATAAATTGCCTACTTTTGTTTATTCTGTTAAAAATTGAATCACATATACAAATCATCGAATTATATTCATTTCATGTAAATACTATGACGTACTAGAAGTGGGTCGTTATAAATGTCTTCAACCATAACCACGCCTGTAACACCAGTTAAAGTTTCCAATTGCTCTTTAATAAGAACGATGGCTTTGCTGTAGTTGCAGATGAACTTTCCGTTTTCCAATTTCTGTAATGTAAAAGATATACCGGTAATCTAAATTGTTTATTACATAATATGATCAATTCGCCCACATTAAAAACCTACATTCTGGCTGTCCACTTGATTTTATATTTTTAAATTAATTATTCATGCTAAGTATTTATAACAATTGATGTTATTGTAACCATGAGAATTTTTCAATACATGGTATTAAACTAAAACTGTAACTGGTCATTTAAATATTGCCAAATTGGCCGGTACGTGTATGAGTATATTTGTAAATGAGTCGCAGCTTAATTAAGCATGTACGCTGAAATCTAGACTCCCAATTTTTACTGCCCCCCCCCCCCCGCCATCGAAACGTTATTTAAGTGATGTTTTATTACAGACTAAGGTCACAAGCATATTTCTTTTCACATTTTCTCACTTTATTTTTTTTATTAAAAAAGCAAAGATGGTTACATAATTTGGAGCCTAATACTAGTTTGTACAATTCGTCTTTATTTTTAATTTAAATATACAATTTCTCTACAAAAATAAATACACACGTTCGATTAATTAAATCCAGCAAATATTTGTATATTGTACACATTTTGTAGTTTAAAAATCCATGACAAAAATGTCTATAACTTCAGTTTGTTAATTATTCTACACTTAGTAGCCTACTTATAAAAAAATTAAAATATACATAATGGTGTAAAAGAAAAATACCTTTGATTCGATAGTAAAAGGAAATTTGTTTAGATGAGATAATTCGATGCTACGTAATCTTGTTAATTCCGAATAATCCACGGTAATACCTTTTGAAGAATCAAACAGGAAACCACTAAGTTCCATACCCTGCAGGTTTAAGCGAATGAAATAATCGTAATTATAAATAATTAAAAAAACAACTAATTAAAGGAATAGTTAAGAAATATATATTATAAATGAAAAAAAAATAAACGCATTAACAAATACACGGACAAATGAATAAACATATAAACGAATAAAAAAAGAAAGATGGAAAGAAAGAAAGATAGAAAGAAACAAAACAAAACAAAACAAAAAAAAGGAAACAAAACGAAACGAAACGGAACAAAGCAATCATCAAAGCAACCAACCAATCAACTAACCAACCAACCAAACAATCAAACAACCGACCAACCAACCGAACGACCGACCAAGCCATCCACCAACCAATCAAAAAACCAACCAACCCACCAACCAACCAACCAACCACCCAACCAACCAACCAACCAACCAACCAACCAACCAACTAACCAACCGACCGACCAAACGACCAACCTATTCACCCACCCATCCTTCCACCTACCCACCCAACCAACCAACCAAATAAACAAACTAACAAACAAACAAAGGTATTTAATAAAGATCAAATAATAGTTCACAGTGTCATTTCATACTTTTTTCCCTTAAATTTTCATCCTTGAGGACTGACCTAGACAAATGAAAACAAAACCTAAGTTAAAACAAAAACCTTTTGCCTGTCACACAACAGGCGTTGTAATTGAGAAAGTACTTAATACCGCATGCATTCGTCCAGCTGTATCAGAAACGACGCTCATCCAAGCGTTTCCATCATCTCTACCCAATCTCTTGTTGAGCATGCAGCAGATCTGTTAATAGATGTTATATTGACACTGACACGAACACGCACACACACACACACACATATGTATATATATATATATATATACATATATATATATATATATATATATATATATATATATATATATATATATATATAAAATATTTTCTTATTTTCACACAGGACTGAATAGTGGCCAAATATAATGCAAATCATGGAATCTTATGACCACTCACTACATTCAATGCACCTTCCCATCTGATTTCCTGTATAGCTACAATATTTAACCTGAAACAGAGAATTATTCTTAAAAATGGATCAATTAAAATATGCGTATTATTAATAATTATTTATTGTGTATATACATAGTAGTCAGTAGCGTACGCAGGGGGGAGCAGGGGGAGCGGCCGCTCCCCCTCTGGCCATTTTCAGCAAAGTGGCGCCTTTTTGGAAACTTTTTAAACTCAAAGTTTTAAACAATAATATTTTTAAAAAAATATTTTTGGTCGGCACATCTATGTAAACCACAAGACTTCTTTTCATGCAGCAATTAAGCATTATTGTACTAGTCTAGTAGTGTCTATGTTTACAACACGTAGTAACAGCTGCATCAGTTTGCCATTCTAAAAAAAAAAAACCATTACGATGCATTGCAATGTTTAAAAAACCTCTACGGGTAGTACCACCTGGCAAGAGGGGTGTAAAGTTTAAGGCAACTGTATAATGTATTTGCTTACGAATAATTGAATTAGAAAATGTTGTACATAAAAGTTTCCCTTTCAAACCTGACGGTCTAAGGGGCAAGTGATCTAGAGTTCACTTGTTTCTGTGACCTCGGCATATGAAGAGATAGTGTGGTCAGCACTATGCCCAGCCGCTTTTACTTTTCCTAACGTGAGTTAGGTACCCATCAGTTGGGTGGACTCAGGGACGGTCTGCTGACTTGAACCCGGATTCGAACTCGAGACTTACGGGTTAGCTGTCCAGCTCTCTACCGCTAGACTACTCCGTCCCCTATATACATGAAACTTCACACATAATTACTTTATATATACAGTTTGAATCGTGTGATTAATTTTTTTTTAAATTACAATATAGAAATAAATACAACTGATGTGGCACCTCTATTTAAATTTACTTATGAGCAAACTGAGTAGTGGTGGGGAAATTTTGACAAGGCCAACAACGTTATTACGATGAAGTATTAGTATTCTTACAGTTTGGGCGATATTGATTACGATTACAAATTATATGAAACAGTTACAACCCCCCCCTCCCCCATGGACCCCTCTGTAAAAAAATATTGTCATAATACCACTGCTACTTATTTAAATCTATTTCTGTAATATATATTTGTGTAATATATATTTGTGTAATATATATGTATTTTTTGAACAGTCATCTAAAAACTTAAGCTATGTTCACTCTGAGTTGGTTATCTCCCCCCCCCCCCCCACACACACACACCTCACCATCACAAATGTGTAGAGCGACATTAATGTCACATCTAGGTATACACTGGGTTGGATAATTGACATAAAGTGACCGGACAGTGGTGAATGAAGTTGAACCCCCCCCCCCCCCCCCCGAACTTATCTGTTAAGTACATGTAGAAAAACGCGTAATGATGCACCAAAGTACAATGCCGCCAGAAAATTAGCTTTTTAAACGTAAAACTCTTGTGAAGATTGTTTTTGCAATTACAAGTGAAAAGGTGTGTGATCAATACAGTGATCTAACCCATACCTATCACTATGTTAAACAATGATCTTTATAGAACAAAAAAAAAGAAGCAGTAGTTAGTTAAAAAATATATGATCTGAACTAAAAGAGCGATATTTAGTTAAATGTAGGCTGTTATTCCGAATGTTTTTCCATTGTATCGAGAAGCGTGGTTTTATACCAACTCTGATTTTAAAAACTTTCATTATGCATTTATGATGACGATATATTGAAGTCTGATTATAGACAAAAACATTTTGTAAGCACGAATGGTGTTAAACAATTTTATTATATTCTAAAGTAATTATTTATTTGTTATGACATTTATAATTAAATGTCTAGATATATACATATTTATATTAAGAGAGTAACTATTTGCTGTATTTCACTTGTCTTAAATAATTTCCCAGGAATTATTATGTAAGAATTTTTTAAACAAGAATCACAAAACAGATTGTGTTACGTTCATTGTTTTTGGTTGTAGTGTGTGTATATTTTTTTTTGTTTAGATTGATACAATTTTTGTTTTGTCGGCCTACATTGTGTGTTTTTTCTAATTTCTTCAGAGTGCTACTTTCAATTTATTTTACATCATAGCGAAGTAAAGACATACAGCTAATAATTTTATATATATATATATATATATATATATATATATATATATATATATATATATATATATATACATATAAAATACACGTGTATAGAACGTGTTAAAAATTCGGCGCCTTTTTTCGCTCTTTTCGCTCCCCCTACAACGAAAACCTGGATACGCCTCTGATAGAAGTCGTTTATTCAGTCGTTTTTCTAGTGTCAATAATATTTTTAATTAATAGTTCTATACTATTATCATCTAATGCTATACACGATTCTAAACAATGCCCGTACAATTAAAACTGTTTGAATTAGTTCAAGGAAGTAACAGATCAATTAAAATTAAATACGCTACATCGCGAAATTTACATCAATTATCGCCATAGCCTCAGTTGTATGTCATTCTATATATACATTTCGGTAGAGCATCAGTACTTTGATTCTTCAAACCTGTGCATCACGGTAAATGCACTTTGCCCTTCAAATTTCCAATACTATTCGTTTTGTGGGCTAATAAAATAGGGCCTATTCTAAACTGTGATCAGAAGAGTAATTAATACCATCCAACTCTTAGTCTACCCCACACGAATAGATTTTTTGGTTTAGTCATAACTTGACATAAAGTATTAATTATCACCGTTACTATCTAAAATTAGAAACTAGTTCAAATGGTTTGATAAAAGGTCACCCGTGGCCAGTGATATTTTGTAATCAATAAACTTTAGAAGAGACTTACTCATTGTCAATTATTGCATCACAAATAGTTACCACTTTTTTCATAACCTTCGCTTCAGATAGAATGTTTAAGTTCCAACTAGCGATCCTTAGCTTGTTTGGTTTAATCGAGCTTCCGTTACTTTCAGGAGCGGCATTATCAAAATTGTGGAAAATGCGAGGTGACGGGCAATCATCACCATCACTGTAGTAACTAAGACAGTCTTCTTCGGAATCTATATTAAGGGTTATATTTTTAAAAATAAATAAATAAATAAATAAATAAATAAATATATATATATATATATATATATATATATATATATATATATATATATATATATATATATATATATATATATATATAAATATATATAATACTTGTGTAGTATAGAAATGAACATAAGGCTGTTCGTACTATCAGCTTCTTTAATGAAGAATGATACTACTCTATGAATCAATTATAGGAAAGTATTAATGAAAAACAGCAATAATTTTGAAAAAAAAAACAACATATAAATTTTGTATAGGCTACTACCTGAAGTTAAAGTGTCGATATCTTCCGTGCTCTCCATCGTAACAATATCGCACACTAACCACAATGATGCGCCAGCTTATTCCTGTAAATCAGTGTAACATTATCAGCAATGACGTAAGCATTGATAGCTTCACGTATGTTTTTAGACATATTTTATCTTCAGCCAATACATCTATACACACACACACACACACCCGCAACCGCTCGATCACATGTTGTAGTAACCGATAGATAAAGAAGTATAGAAGCATAGGGGGGGGGGGGGGCTAAGCCCTTTAGGGGGCCCACAGTCGACCATAATTATTTTTTTATAAATTTAAAATTTAGCACTCTACTGCTAGTGTAAAAGATAGGGAAAAACTTCAAATGTTAATGACTTCCGTGACTTGTTGATCCCCCTTGGCAGCCGACAGCCAAAAAGGGGGCACGTAACCCGTTCACAAACAGGCATAATAAATGTTCGAACTGACCTCGAAAGTAAGATGTGGCGGATAGTGCGCGGAAATATTGTCGCCAGATTTATTTATAAAAAAAGGTTATTTATAATTGTAGTTTCTTTTTTTTAAAAACAATTGTGAAAGCCAAGTTGTCTTTCTCCTACGATTAAACATACTCTGTAGCTCCAGAAGCCGTAATATATGTAATAGACTTTCATGATGTACGGTACTTTTTTGTAGCGTTGGTAAGGGGCCAAAGTCCATTGTTAATTTTTCAATGTGTAATAATAATATGTATGCTTGTTACATTGATGTATATTTTTAGAACTAATATCCTTTACTATTATGTATCCTACAAATAGTAAAAAAGAAATATAGTACCAGTAACATCGGTTTTATGCAAGTTTACTCACTGTTTTTACAAACAAATGTGGAAGTAAACTTATATATTTAGAATAATCTACCTCGAGTAAATTTATATTAGGCTTTAGGAAATACAGTTGCGACCATCCCTTATTCGTCCCTATTCGCTTTGTCTTTCGTTTCAACTTTGTTTGCACCAGAGCCCTCACAGCCCTAGATGGGTTGCTGTCCCTCGCTACCGGGCCCAATTTACCCGTGGTTCAAACTCCAGCAGTGGCGTAGGCAGGGGAGGGGGGGGGTTAGGGGGTCATACCCCCCATAGACCCCTCGGTATTTATATAAAGTAAGAGGGGGGGGGGGTCCAAATCGAAAGTTTTGGGGGGGGGGGGGGTGCAAATCAAAAGTCTGAGGGGGGGGGGGGGAGGTGCAAATCGAAAGCTTGTATCCGGGTAAAAATTGGACCCCCCCCCCTTGAGACGATCCTGGCTACGCCACTGAACTCCAGACTTTTCGGTTTAGAAGACATAACCCGACCACGACCCTTCCAATCGACTCGACAACCGAACTCGAAACGTCCAAGAGAGCAGTGGAGCACTCTACTATCCATATTGAGAGGGCGTGGGGGTTTAAATTCACAAAGCTGTGGAAGTGGGTGTAACTTAAAGGTAAAAGACCAAAGTGGCTTCGCGAACACGCTGGGGTGGTTGTGGATGGTTGGGTGCTGGGGTGGGGGGGGGATTTATTGGTGACAGATGGATTTTTGGAGCTGGGCAGGAGTCAGAAAGAGTTTGAGACAGAAATGTGAATAGAGGTGTGAGGACTAAACAACGGAATCGAAAAGGGAAAAAGGGAAGAAAATTTTTCTATCTGTGGTAGTCTGTTACTAAATATATATATATATATATATATATATATATATATATATATATATATATATATATATATATATATATATATATATATATATATCTGTCGTGGAAAAGTTGTGTTATTAAAAACGGGCAGTATTTGCGGGTATGACTTAAATTCATTTTGTGCCTAAAATAAAAGTAATTATTTAAGTGACTGTTGACTTGCTAAGCTAGTGAAAACTCCCTATACACTTAGTTTAAACTACCAATACAGCACATACGAGATATTATAACAAACACTAGTGCTTACATTCAATATGAAGAAAAAAAACACGTCTAAATCATCACATGTATCTTTTTACATTAACGCTTCGAAGGGAAACAACTGCAAAAACATAGAAGCACGATGTTAAGGTATGTAATTTATTTATATAAATAATATTTCTCCTATTTCGTTCAGGGCGACGAGCATGGACCGTCCAGGGGCGGATTAATCTTTGTGCAGGGCCCCGGGCTGAAACTTTTTGGGGGCCCCTGATATATATATTTATATATTAATCAACATATTCAAGATAATAATGGATTATTCTAACTTACAGGAACATTCGACACTGATATGTACAAAACTGCTAATTTAAAAAGCTGCCAATTATGTTCAATGAGCGATGAATTAGATACAAACATCTAACCAATATGTACTCATTTTTAGCAAAAAAGTTATGTTGCCCAAACCCATCCCTCCCACACCCACTACCACTACAACTACCACGACACACACACTCACACTCACAAAAACACAGAAATGCGAGATCCATCCGCTACGACAGCAGTACTAAATATATGACTGTTTACTTTAGATGTGTAGAAGTTTCCGACCTCTGAATCATAACATATAGTTATTCGACTGTCATTCAAGTATTTATATTAGGCGTGTGAAAGCTGGAAATGCAGACTAACATTGAATTAACATAAATATCCATAAGAGTTTTATAATGTCGTTATAGAGCAGACGATAAAGACTGTTGGAACTTGCTTGATTGCAGACGCAAAAAGAAAAAAGAGAATTTCAAACCACTCTATGTAGGAAATTATTGATAACATGCAGAGGTTAGTATAGGCCCAACTAAAAACAGTAAGCACGGCATTATCGTAAAAAAAAAAACAACAACCACACCTCCATCCTCTTAGGTGTCATCCATTTTTGAGGCCCACAAAAAGTTGGATTTCCACAGGCGTCCATTTATAGAACGCCATCCCTGGCCTCTATACCCAATATTAACGTTCACTAAAAGTAAACGGCTATAAGTGTTTTTAAAAGTTTTAATCATAGTGTCCACTCCAGATTTATTTCCTATATTTCTGTCTTGTCCTAATTTAGACCTAAATGTCTGTTACCGTAGTATAGGGCCTTAATAGGTCTGCCGAGACATAATTGCCCATTGAGTTTGGTTAAAATAACACTGGCACTGCCGTAGGCTCGTTTGCTTTTAGGCCTACATTGTTTATGCAGCTTTGTTTTTGCTATCAACAATACAGAGTATGATTCTTTGATTGTGATGTCACAAAGGCCCTCCCCACCTTCACCTATACGCCGTCCACACGTATCCACAATTGTCTTAAGTTTTAGTTCCATTAGTAGATGATTTCTTATATTCTTAAGATAAATATATACTAGTCGCCAAAGAACGTAAAAGCTAATTAATTAGGCCTAACGGTTTGTGGCCTATTTTGATTTTAAAAAAAATTAAAAGTTTACAATAGGTGGTAGAACCCCCGACTGCTGACCTAAAGGTTTTGAGCTCTAATCATCCAAAACACAGATGGGTACCTATATCAATCTCATATTTTTAAAACTACTAAAAGAGGCCAGGCATAATTTAAGAACTGATCAGAATGTCTCATTTGCTGGCAACAACTAGATATGTGAACTCTACCTAATATTCCCTATGCTCACCAGGCCCTAATTGGAAACTAGGAAATTAATCTAGGGAGTTTTAATCCAAATAACTAGATCTAGATATCCTGTACCCCTTAAAAATGAATATCCGAAACTTCCCTTCTAATAACAAAAATGTAAAGCATATTTGGTAAGATGGGTAAGCAAAGACGGTTAGACAGTTTTTCATTGATTAATAAGGCTGGTCAATAATGTTGCTTTTCTGGATGCTTGCGAGTGAGACCTAATTCAGAATGTAGACTCTATTCCTAACATTTGTATTTATTTCAATTTGGTTACCACCTCACTACACGATCTGACGCTAGGCCTATCTGACTAAATAACTTTCAAGTGCTGTAAATTTTTTAAAAAGGCGTCAATCATAGACTCATGTGTCAGAATTCAACCACTGTTTGTGTTTTTAACTCTAAAATAAAACCCAGTTTGTTGTCATAAGCGAACGCTGTCTGGGCTATTTGTTTTAGACAGCGTGTAGGAGCTGATGACAGCTGGTATTTATACTAAAGTGTGTGCTCAAGTTTGATATATTTTAACACAAATTGAAATTAGCTTATGATTTAAAAAAAAATGGTTTTTATTGTAGAAAAAAACAACAACAAAAACCCAACAGTTTCGCTTAAAAGGGAATTTACTATGGCTGGAAAAGGAAATTTGGGGGCCCCTAAAAATCGGGGGGCCCTGGCTGCAGCCCCCTCAGCCCCCCCCCCCAATCCGCCACTACGTAGACGGGAGAGATGCCTGAATTAAATACTGTATTAAATAATTAATTATGCTTACGGACGCTGCCTGTTATGGCTGGGTTGTTGTTGTACAAAGTTATTATTGCTAGATATAGTTTAAAACGAAAAATGGGTATTTTATAGTGATATAATATGAAGTTAAGCACTTTAAATTTTAGTGAGGAAATCAAACAAGTATGGTTGTTTCGACCGATGACAAAGGAAGGCTTGTAAGTAGGCCATCTATTTCTGGTTCTCGTACTTGCCAGGTAGTATGTTTAATACCGAATGTGAATATTTTTATTAAATAGGTAAAAACAAAAATAAATAGAAAATTTATTTTCGTTATTGTTAAGTTAACGATTGCATTTTGTGTATTCTTTGTATTTAAAAATCTTGGAGCTAGGCCTAAAAACAAATAGCGCTTTGTTCTTTTTTTATCCATACGAATAACATTTAAAACAATTAAAGTAGTTCGGAAATTCATATCTGTCACTAGCTAACGAGACTTCAAATTTTAAGCGAGAGAGACCGAGACTTACAAGCACTGTAGGAGAAGCATGGTCATATTTTTATAAGTGTTGTGGACTAGGTTAGAGACAAATGTTTTGTTTGAATGGTCCATTTTATTGATATGTGACAAGAACTAAGTTACTGGCTTCAGTCTAAAGTATAATTGTATGTGCTGATGTATACTCAAATGAAAATAGGCCTACTTACCCAGTGCAAAAGACTTTACAACAATATTTAAATACTCGTTTCGTAAAAACACATCAACTGATCTCATCAAACGCCATTTTGGTACTCTGCCTAAGCACTAAAAATAGAAACTAAAAATAGTTTTCGGGAATTTTATTTATTTAAAACTGCACGTGTTATATGTTTTAAAATAGATAACCTAATTTACCGATGTTAAATAATCAGTATGCATAATAGATCAGCACATTAATTTTTTTGGGAATACAAAATGTAATTAATTTTTTAAAATGATTTTAAGCCTAACCATGAAGCGAACGTTTGACCGCTTTGATAGTCCGGCCAGGAATATTTCTCCAAAAACACTCTATTAGACTTCTTTCGTTGGTCCAAATTCAATACTATAGTTACTTTTAGTTCGTGGATACACATAAACAATTTCTCTATATTAAACTACCTACGTATGAATAAATTAGTATTGGGCTAAGCTAATTTGAAAACTACTACTACGCCGACGTGGTCGAATGGTAGAGCATATTATTGCTAACCCGAAAGTCACGAGTTCTATTCCGAGTTCAAGTCCATAGAATATCCCAGCTGTGATGGATACCTGACTCACGTTAGGGAAAGTAATAGCAGCTGATCATAGTGATGACTTTATATGCCGAGGTCAAAGAAACAAGCGAAATTTACTTCACTTGTCCTATTAGCTATTATGCTTTTCATTTGCACATCGACGCTGGGCTTTGTGAGATGCTGGTTGACGATACTTCTCTGCATGCTTTGGCAGACAGCAAATAAGCACTGGAGAGCCAGCTACAACACTATGCCAGCAACATTAACAAAAAGTAACAACAAAATGCAACTTCACCTTTATAAGTCCAAGTCAATGCCCCATCACACACAACGCCAACGTCAACATTAACCATCCCTTCACTACATTTTACAGTAGAGAACATAAGTTATTGATTACAATTTTACCTAGTCTGATCATTTCACGTAATCAAAATATCATTATTGTAGGTTACTTTTCAGTTAGCTGAGATTAGAAATTGTGATAATTCTACGAGAAAATTAGTTTTCTACAAGACATTCATTCAGTCTAAGATAGTTTAAGATAGATATTTTACGTCTTTAACTAAATAGCGTTCACTTTTTACAATAAAAAAATGCCTTACACATTGTATTTTGCTTATTTATTTCCCGACTCTTTCCTCAAAAAACTGAAATTCACCATACAGCAATATATATTTTCAAAAATATTACATAATATAATTTTACATATATAAGCTCCTCATACTTATAATTAAACACATTACTTCATTGTTGTCATTTTTTAGCTTCACCTACCCTAACCTCATTTTATGGAGTAATCTACTTAATATAAGAAAACGATCTAAAAAATAAAATATATATGCTAAAAAAACATAACTAAAACAGCAATCATCTTTCCAAAAGGTGAACTGAGTCATCGGTAATCCTCACTAATAATTCTAGCTATGATGATGATAATTTTATATCACTGCTCGTCTTAAATTTGTACTACACATCTCTTTCAGTTACTTAATTTAACGAAATGAGTTTATATATAATAGGGCGTATGAGTTCGTGGGTTCCATTCGATTTAATTCATAGCATTTTGCTAAGATAATGTGTTTAAGTTATTATTCGGAAGTGATTAAAAACCTGAGTAATTTAATGCCGTATTCAAACACAAAAAAGAAAACGATCCAATTTTTACTTTAAAATAATTATTTATCCCTTTTGAAAAAAAACACAAAAAATAATAATAACAATGGTATCTAGATATACTTATACATCTCTTTAAATAATGCAACGTAAAAATATTTCTATATAACATAAATATAAATTTTATCACAGTATATAGAATCAAAAACACTATCCTAGGCAAACAGTGAAATGACGAAATTGTGTGAAGAGCTAATAAGAAATTATGTGAACATCAGTGAAGAAATACAAAATGAGTAATATCTTATATATCTGAAATGCTTTAAAACAACAAGATTTCTAAAAAGGAAAGAAACCTCAGCTTGATCACCCTTACCTAACCCAAACAGCAAAGTAATGTTAGGATTTCGTTTAATTTAAGGTTAGCGTTAGAATTATATTTAGGTTGCAAGGTTGGGTTACGGTATAAAACGGGATTTGTTCTTGTTTTTGCATTACTGCTTTCCTTAGAGAAGTTGAATTGTTTTTAAATAGCTTGGATACAGTTTTTAAAGAATTGTGGGTGTTAACATTGAACTATGTATCACTATACCAGTTTTTAATTAAGAGAGGCAATTCGAAAAAGTTGACTAATGAGAAACGATACAGTGTCTATTTTCTGCTAATAATTAAGTTAGAACTAACTATCGTACTTTTAAGATAAGCTGTCACATTTCTTTTCATTAGCCAACTAATAAAAGACGTGAGGGGAGAATTTGATCAAACTATCAATATCCACATTTGTTACAAACAGTTCTGTACAAATATGATGAAAACAAGGAAGCCACTAAGTAACATCAATGTTTACAGAAGAATAGTGTAATCGAGTGAAGATATTGAATACAATTGTTGAAAAGCAGAGAGTAAAAGTATTTAAAGTGCAAAGGCAGTGAGAAGGTATGGATAACACACACACACGCACACACACATACACGCACACACACACACACACACACACACACACACACACACACACACACACACACACACTGTCCGTGGCAGTTTACAGGCGACAATGAAAATATCTGGCAGAACCTTAGTTTCAAATAATTTAAAAGCTTAATTATCTGCCCCTAAAAGACGTTACTAATTAGACCCGGCTCTGCGATTGTAAACATTCGGGGTGTCTCGCATGGTCCTTGTTATGAAGTCATCGGTTTATTTGGTACATGATTTGTTGTCTTTGATATCTGCAGTGAGTTGATGTCTTTAGGTAACAGTTTAAGCCTTGATTGAATACCTCCAACACACGTACAATTTTAAGGCTTTAATAAACTTTAGTATTGAAGAAACAAACATAGAGTTCTGCCACGGAGCACAAGACACACACTTCCACACGATAACAAGTCTAGCATTCAACTAACTTAATTAATTCACGCGGCCCCAAATTCACCCTAAGGTAACCCAACCCCTGCCTAACCCCAGCAGTCCCGCGAGGGGGCGGGGTGCCTAGCCTGTGGATGCATTAGCTCGAACTCTTTACGACTGTGACAACTTGCATTTAGTGGGGTGACGTACAGTGAAACACATTAAGGACTAATCATATTGCAGCTATCTCATCTAAAATTAAACAATATAATAGTGTGGACATAAATACAATATTAAGAATGAAACGATATTTTACCACAGTTCTCTATCATATGCTAATCCCAGTTATAACAGTCCCCTTAAAAAGAAATATATTTATCTCTCTCTCTCTCTCTCTCTCTCTCTCTCTCTCTATATATATATATATATATATATATATATATATATATATATATATAAGAAGTAAAAAATATAATAAATAAATAATACTTACATACATACGTATATATATATATATATATATATATATATATATATATATATATATATATATATATATATATATATATATATATATATATATATATATATATATATATATATAAGAAGTAAATAAATAATACATACATACACACACATATGTATATATATATATATATATATATATATATATATATATATATATATATATATCAAGGTGTTGTTCAAAAAGTTGTTCTTTAAATCACTAAAACGCACCACTACTTCCAAATACATAAATAAGTAGTATGTTAAAAGAAATTCATTAGATGTCGTTATATTACCAATAATAAATAAAACACAACTTTTCGTGCTGCAGAATATGCTCATAAATTGATGGGAAAGAAAATGTAAGCTTAAAACCTAGTAACTAAAACGTTTCACCAGTTCTAAATGAAGTAATGAATACAGTTAAAAACTGAGTGGAAGCTATTCAAGCTTGCTTCAAATGTAAGCATCTCTACAAAGTATTTTGTAAAAGGCAAAATTAAGAAAAACAAAATTATACTTCGCACCGAATTAAGATGGCTATCCGAAGAGAACTGCTTGAAAAGACTTATGGAATTATTGCACATTATTTAATGATTTATTAAACGACAAAGCTAAAAGGTATAATATGCAAAACATCGAGGTTAAAGTTTGTGAATTACTTAGCAAATATTCTTGAAAAATTGAAATGTATTAAATAAACATTTCAATGAGAAAATATCATAAGTGCGGGAAAAAAAGGAGGATATTTGGTTTCATTTTCTTTATTGAACTCTGTCTGACATATGTTTAGCCTACACAATTTTTCCTCACCAGGTTCTTTGTCTTACTAAATGTCTTATACCGCAAAAAATGCTATTATCAATCATCTGAAAAATTTATCGGCTGATTTATATGAAATTATTCTATGAGCTGAAATAAATTGATTCAACAAGCTCCATGCTGCAGCCCCAGTTAGTGAATTGTGAATAAACAGAAACGAAACACGTAAATGCAACCAAATATCAAAGTTTGAGGGAACGGGTCTATGACCAATGTCCTCAGGATAAAATATCTAAATATCTCAGCATAAATAATCTCACAGACCATATAACTTGAACAAAATATATCAGGAAATAATATATGATGATAAAAACATCTAAAATAATTTTAGGAAGACTAACTTAGAGTGGGGGTGGGGGGTGGGGTGGAGGGGGAGGGGTTGCGGTATACAAAAATGTTTAAAAAAAAACAAGGCTCTTCTAAATTTTCATTACCCCTGTTCTCGCTAGAAAATTAATATAGCACTGTAGGTTTTAAAATGTGAAATGTTTTAGAGGAAATGAGCAACACTATAGAATGCCGGGTTTTCACTTTGTCAGTTGCATATATAAAGACAACATGTAAGAGTCCAAATTGAACTTGAAGCTGAATTGAACTTAGGTCATGGGTCAGGGCATAGGTCAGTAGTGACATTACTGTAGTAGCCGCTTCGCTTTAAAATAAAGATGTCTGTACAATTAGTTAATCTTTGTCTCTTGAAAAAAAAGCTTAATGCGTCACAATGCATTATTAGCTTTCAGCAATAGCTTTAATGATATAAATTTTTTTTTGTATTAGGTTCCAACACTATTATCAATAATCTAATTCGAGAATTAATAGATTTAAGCCATTGTTATGTCTCTTACGTCTGTCGGTGAAACTCGATTCTAGATTACACAATAAATAATAATGCTAATAATACTGAAATTTTAGGCCTGAAATATTTCATATTTATATGTGCTTTTTAACATTGGAATAGTTTAAATAAGGAGATTATTTGATAAAAAGATATTTTACTTTACGATTACAGAGAGAATGCAACATAATACAAACTATTTTTACCAATTTTTACGTTTGTTTTTAGCTAAGTTTATTGTGCATAAACTATTCACTAAAGTAGGAATCCAAGCAGTATTTATGTATATATATATGTATATATATATATATATATATATATATATATATATATATATATATATATATATATATATATATATATATGTATATATATATATATATATATATATATATATATATATATATATTAACACGATTATTTTCCATTTATTACAGGTAAGTTACATTAATCTTAAAAACACCTTCTAAAATGGGCAAAAGAAGTTATAACAGGTGAGATTGATCTTCGTCAACTTTCCCTTTTCTGGAATTCTTTTTATTCCTTATCTTTTTTTTCTTTTATACAAACATCAGCGTAAACTGGACAGTGATCACTAATATAGCATTGGCACGTTTCACAATCCAGACCATTTCTTAGTACCGCAGAATTATCTGAATAACAAAGTATAAAGCATTCAAAGCTTATATTCAATATACAAATTTAAACAGGAAATTTTTTTTCATTTTGACAGGAATGCAAAAAGTATTTTAGGATAATAATTGAATCTTCTTCTTCTTCTTCTTCGTTCTTAATTATTAGTGTTGAATGGGATCGAGATTTATCTGCCAGTGGGTTTGAACTCGAGACTTTGTTCGAATTTATCAACCATGAGCTTTTTGCCGACTCGACCACGCCTCCAACACAATTACGCGTTACGTGTCAACTGGTTATGCGCCATTGAGGCTATTGACTCCGATTTCAGCCTGCTTTTCTTTTTGGATTTGCTTCCATAGCCTTTGTCCAACCAAGAACAAACTCCAAGGCAGCAGTTGTTTAATTTTGGAGTTGTCTCTCCTAGAAGAGTGGCTGTCCCCAGCTAACGAGCCTCATCTGCCCGAGGGTTCGAACTCGAGACTTTTCGGTTTAGCAACCATGAGCTTTACCTACTCGACCACGCCGCCCCTAATAATTGAATAATTTTGTACAATTTAATTAATAGAGGGCTTCTGATGAAGTAAATTATATTAATTCACTTAATTAATTTTTTTAAGTCGTTAGAAAAAATTACGTACACTTATAACATAGACGATTTTGTTTTCGTATCCAGATGTTGTCACGATTATAGTCTCCGTGAGGCTTATTGATACTGATATTAGTTGGATGAAAAGCTAGAATACAATTTGTGAATTCACTTTTCCAAATGTCAGTAAATACTGTGAAGAAAAAAACGGAATAATATAACAAATACAAAAAAAAAACCCTTTACAGCAAAAAGCTTTTAAATATACTGAAAATTAAATAATAAAAGTAATTTTTTTTTCTTTAATTAAAGGTTGTGTCTCTAAAAGATGTAAAAGTGCTCATAAGCGAACATCTTATTTAATTTAAAAAAAAAATAGGCTTGTATCGTCATTGAAGTGGAACGTATCTGGAGAATTTGAACGAAATCGCAGCATTATAAGCGGATCAAAATTGAGTTACAAGATTTGCCAGAAATTTACAAACAAACAAACGAACAGATGTTGTGAGCTAAATAAAAGCATGTAAAAAATAGAAATAATTAATTTTAAATATTGTATTTTGAGTTTCAATAGTTTTGTTTTAGATTAAATGTTTTGGTTCATCTGTAAATAGAGCAATGTGTTGACTTAAACGTAGACGCATGTTCACAATTATATTTACTTACCTTCATCATCAGCAGGTAGATTAAAATCTCCAAGCACAATGAGGTTTGCTCCTTAAAACCATAAAAGAAATACAAAATGTAATGGAAACATAAACAATGAATGTAATACATATTTGTAGCTGCTATTTCTCTCCCGAGACAGTCAAGCAGGCAGGCAGTCGGACCGTCCGTCCTTCTGACCGACCGACCGACCGACCGACCGACCGACCGACCGACCGACCGACCGACCGACCGACCGACCGACCGACCGACCGACCGACCGACCGACCGACCGACCGACCGACCGACCGACCGACCGACCGACCGACCGACCGACCGACCGACCGACCGACCGACCGACCGACCGACCGACCGACCGACCGACCGACCGACCGACCGACCGACCGACCGACCGACCGACCGACCGACCGACCGACCGACCGACCGACCGACCGACCGACCGACCGACCGACCGACCGACCGACCGACCGACCGACCGACCGACCGACCGACCGACCGACCGACCGACCGACCGACCGACCGACCGACCGACCGACCGACCGACCGACCGACCGACCGACCGACCGACCGACCGACCGACCGACCGACCGACCGACCGACCGACCGACCGACCGACCGACCGACCGACCGACCGACCGACCGACCGACCGACCGACCGACCGACCGACCGACCGACCGACCGACCGACCGACCGACCGACCGACCGACCGACCGACCGACCGACCGACCGACCGACCGACCGACCGACCGACCGACCGACCGACCGACCGACCGACCGACCGACCGACCGACCGACCGACCGACCGACCGACCGACCGACCGACCGACCGACCGACCGACCGACCGACCGACCGACCGACCGACCGACCGACCGACCGACCGACCGACCGACCGACCGACCGACCGACCGACCGACCGACCGACCGACCGACCGACCGACCGACCGACCGACCGACCGACCGACCGACCGACCGACCGACCGACCGACCGACCGACCGACCGACCGACCGACCGACCGACCGACCGACCGACCGACCGACCGACCGACCGACCGACCGACCGACCGACCGACCGACCGACCGACCGACCGACCGACCGACCGACCGACCGACCGACCGACCGACCGACCGACCGACCGACCGACCGACCGACCGACCGACCGACCGACCGACCGACCGACCGACCGACCGACCGACCATGACATTTTAGCAATAAACAAATAAAGATACATATATACATTACCAAGTTTATTAAGATCCTGGTAATACTTCAAACATTGGAAAAGCATCGTTGCTTCTGCTTTTGCCTTGTTACATTTGAAGTGAACATTAATCAGTTCGATGGATATTCCTTTTACCTGCATATTTAAATTATTTTAAATAATACAAACAGTGGCGTCTTTAGGTAGAGTGTCACTAGTGCGGCACCTCGTGGTGTCACCCCTCTTTAAAGAATATATATATACATATATATATATATATATATATATATATATATATATATATATATATATATATATATATATATATATATATATATATACTGCTGGAGAGAAACCGTAAGAAACAGAGCGCTAAAGTTATAATTTAAAAGCCTAGGCTTAAGAGGCTTTGAAATAAAAACAACGAAGTATATTATCGAAAGCCTTCCTAAAATGTAAAGATTCAGATAATATTTACCTGAAACCTGAACAGTAACGGGTGCCTTGTACAAATTTGTTTCGTTTCAGTCCCTGTTTCTTCTAATTGTTTTAGAAAGTAAGATTTGTCACAATGCTGTGAACACAAGCAAATAAAAGCATTAATCACTTAGTTTAACATTAATTATATTATATTTAATACCAAAATCAATGTAAAGAACAGCGTGACCACAAAAATCAATACGACAGTGTAATGGGCGGCTCACAAGAGTGCAATTTCGCACCCCGGATTATCCCGTGAGGGTTATGGCGCCCACGTTCCTTTTTAACAGTGCGGTAGGCTATGGATAAGATGGGGCGTCATAGTCGTCCATTAAATTGAATAACAAATGGTAGCTGGAGTGAGGTTAATTCAATTAGGAATAAAACATAAAATTGAATCAGGCGTGTTCGCCGGCGCCCCGGCAGGGGACAATTATGTACCGAGGGCTATCCTTTCAGCGTTATACGTTCGTTTGAAATAATGCGATAGAATATAGATAAGATGTAGGATTACAGTCGTTCGCCATATTGAATCAGGCCTGCTCCCTGGCAGGGTGCGATATTCCCCGGGCTATCTTCGGAGACGGGCACCCTAGTTTATATATATTATATATATATATACATGTATATATATATATATATATATATATATATATATATATATATATATATATATATATATATATATATAAACTTTTTAATTCTTACTTTCCATAGTCCTTGTTATTTTTTAATTATGAGGAACCAAGTTGTTTGTATTATTTTCTAAATAAAGCGAAAAACATATCAAGGTAATGAGACACTTACATTTTGATGTTTTGGTTCAAAAACCAAAATTATATTTGACCTGATACTTCAAAAATGGAAGAGTATGGATTGGTTCTGCCTCCCACTGGATTAATTATTTTCATTTAAAGTTACCTACCGAATCGATTGGAGTGTTTTTGATATAATCAATATGAAATTCTTTCTCGTAAATCAGCTGCAATAAAAAAAATTGAAACTTATAGATGAACAAGTTATACTCATAGTTTAATTCAAATCGCACACCTTTTGTTTTAAGCTTGTAAGTTTATTTTACATTATGTTTGTTAAGTTGTAGGTTTTTGATTTTATTGTGGTAAAATCATGTAAATTAATTTTGTCATGTGTAAATTTAATGAAAAATTAGGTCGTCATCTATTTGAAATGCAGACGAATTAGAATCAGTTTAGTCTTAAAAGTAATTAATAACTTGTTTGTTTGAATTGAAAAAAAATGTTTACATTTCCAAGTTTATAACATTCTAATAGACGTGACGAAATATCTGCCAATCCTTGTGATTCGTCGTACAGAAAACCCAATCGTTCCATACCCTGCATGACCCAAAAGACAAAATAAGTTAATAATAATTTATTTATCAACTTAAGTTTTTTTAATAATATGCTTTGGTAATGAAATGGTGAATAATGGCTTATTAGCTTTAATTATATTTAAAAAACATTTAAAACGTTGAGCATATATATATATATATACATACATATATATATTCACATATATTTATATATATATGTATATATATATATATATATATATATATATATATATATATATATATATATATATATATATATATATATATATATATATACATATATATATATACATATATATATATATATATATATATATATATATATATATATATATATATATATATATATATATATATATGTATATATATATATATATAAATTGACGCTTATAACCAGTGGCGGAACTAGAAAAAAAGGGCCACCCCGCAAAAAATATTTTAGCCCCCCCCCCATATATAAATATAGGCCTATACATATATATATCTATATATCTATATATATAGAGAGAAAATAGTTGGTGCCGATGCAAGGTTTTAATATCTTCCCTTATCACGTGGTGCTAAGTAATTACGTTGAGACTATAACATATACTGGAACGATATAATTATGTAAATAACTGATGCAAGTTCATAGAATTCCAACAAGGTAGGCATTAACTAAAGATTACACATGGGATTCTGAGCATGTATTCGTATTTTTTTGGGGTATCTGTTTAACGCAACAAATACTAATAGATTTTTTTCATTATCAAAGATGTCATCAGCCAAATAAATCGAATTAAACACCCATCATTAAAACATTAATTAGACAAAGTGTAACCCCCACCATACATTAACACAGACATTACGACAGGATTAATAAATAAGGAATAGATTTTTATTCCAATTTTAATTAGGAAAAGAAAATGTTTTGAAATAGTGCAAAATATCGTACGAAAAATCGGATCATCCCAAACATTTAATATAATATTTTGATTTTATATCATGTGGTAGCATACTATTTAAAAAATGTTTATGTGTGGGAAGGCAGTGCTTCTGTTGGGGAATGGTATTTTTCCATACACGCTTTCAAACCGCGCAAGGCTAATTAATACACTTGTAAAACAGTAATCTGTCTAATTGATCAAAACTTAAGTGAGATCAACAAAAATTAGAACACGTACCTGATTACCGCGTCCAGCAATGTCTGAAACTACGCATTTCCAACACTTTCTATTATTCAACTGATTCAGTTTTTCACACATCTGTTCGTTTTAAATATATATATATATATATATATATATATATATATATATATATATATATATATATATATATATATATATATATATATATATATATATATATATATATATATATACATATATATATATTAAAAAGCTTAAATAATTTTACTACAAAAATGAATTTCTGGCTTATAACTAGAACTGTGATAAATTTAGTAATAAAGGAAAATAATATTATAAGCATGAAGGTAGCCGTGGCTTATCGGTAAGAGCTAGACTGCTAACCCGCTAACCCGAAGGTCTCAAGTTCGAATCCGAGTTAGTGAAGCAGAAGTGGCTGGGCGTAGTTCTAACTCCATTATTACCCTGTATGCCGAGGTAATTGAAACAGATAAACTCTACTTCATCTGCCCCATTGTCTTCAGAAACGAATGTAGCTGAATCAAAACTGCCGATTTAGAAGTGGATCAAAACTGAGCTAAAAATTTGCCACAAACAGACAGAAGGACAGACAGACAAACATTGTGAACTAAATAAACGTTTACAATAAAAAATATTATTGACCCAAGGTCTAGGCGCTGTTATATTTTAACAACTGTAAACTCAGTTTATATATTTATTTTCTTAAACTGAATTGGATTTGGTATCGGAACCAATTTAATCGTTCCGAAGTCCCATTTTAAATAGTAAAGATCTACAACTTCAATGAACACTTCACATTCCGTTTCCTAATTTCATAAGAAGTAATACCATATTTACCGTAACAAGTGCTTGTTCCCCCTGAACCTCTTGAATACCAACAATGTTGAACCTATAAAAAAAGGAATATGATCTGAATACCACAAACTTTGTAGACACAGAAAAAAAAGATATAAAAACCTCCAATAGAAATGGATATTGTCTATTAAATATATTTTTTCCCAAACCACTCTTTATTTCTTTAATGCAATCTACACTTTGGTTTCATACGGTGATTGCGTTGTATTGAAATACTATACAGAAAAGCATGATTGAAAACCAAATAAAATGGAAGATGAGGAAAATGCTCAAGCATAAAAATGTTGTTTTATATTTCTTCTCGCATGAAAAGCGAAAAAAATGTAATGAAGTCGTACTGTTTTATGTATATTGAGTGTTGTTTTATTTTTTAACTTCAGGCACATAAATATACGTATCAATATGCCTATTCCTTTACCCATGCCCTTATCTTTACCCGTACTCTCACCCTTACCCTTACCCTTACCCTTACCCTTACCCTTACCCTTACCCTTACCCTTACCCTTACCCTTACCCTTACCCTTACCCTTACCCTTACCCTTACCCTTACCCTTACCCTTACCCTTACCCTTACCCTTACCCTTACCCTTACCCTTACCCTTACCCTTACTCATACCCATACCCATACCCACACCCACACCCACACCAATATACATACCCATACCCACACCTATACATACACATACCCATACCCATACCCATACCCACACCAATACCCATACCCATACCCATACCCATACCCACACCCATACCCATACTCACACCACACCCACACATACCCACACCAATACCCACACCCACACCAATACCCACACCCACACCAATACCCACACCCACACCCACACCAGTACGTAGTATAGCTATCTGGTCTGGTTTGAAGTTGATTACACCAAACAACTTTTACCCAAGAGTCACTTTATCTTTTAAGTATGTCTCAACTAAATATTTAATTATTCTGCTTAAATTAAACTTGTTCGAAGGGAGATAAAATTAAACTTTTTTTACGATGAGTATTTTATAGAGTTTTTCCTACCCATTAGTTCAAGTTAATAAAAGGAGTTACAGAATTTTATACCTTAACCAGCATATGAAACTACTTGTTTATTTTATAGTTTAAACTCTCTAAAGGTTAAAATTCTCATTTAATCTGCTAGGTAAGAAAATATAAAGTCTAACGATTTTTAATAGTTAAAAAACTAATAAAATAATTAAATGTCAAATTATCAATAGTACAATGGTGAGTTTTGACGAGTAGCATTTCTTTTAGATTATAAGCAATTTTTTTTTCGAATAAGCGAGTAAATTGCTTGTAGAACAGCAGTTCTAAAAATAACAATAACATATTTTACATTGAAAACTAATACATTTCTACCATGGAGTTAAGGTCCCTAATCGATGCTAGAATCGTCACTGATATCATTATTTAAGAATTACTCGTTTTCGTTAATTATCCTGCATGCGTTATCCGTTATTATGTTTTTGGAAGCTTTAGCATCAGTTAATTCTCGTAGGTTCCAAGAAGCAATTCTAAGAGCATAAGTAGATTCGTGACTGCATCCAGTGTCGGATTCAGAGCTAGATCTTGATGAGGAACTTTGATCCGCAGGTAAATCACTACCTTTAAAAACGAATAATAAAGAAGCTTTAAGTGGAAATAAACTGCTCTGGGAAAAAAAAATTCTAAATTAATAAGCCATTTTATTTATTTATGTGTATATAAGTTAGGGTACCTAATGGAAAATATACACACGTTTCAGGGACTCTTCTAATCATATGGTTACTATAAAAGAACCGTTTATAGAGGTCTCAAGGTTAAAGAACTAATAAAAGAATGGGCAAGTGTCTATTCAAACAAACGGCATCTGGCAAGTGTCTTTCAAGAATTTGTCGTAGACCATATTAATAGTAATTGACTATAACTAATGTTCTTTTAAATTATTTACTAAAATGTTGTACTAATCGAAAACATTAGATTTATCAAACAAAAGCTATCAAGTAAATTTATCTGCTGACTAGTGTCTGACAAAATTTGCAGAAAAATTAAACAATATTTAAAATAGTTCTGATTATATTCACAACTTACAACATTTCGGTGATACTTGATCGGAATCTTCATCTTCTGTGTCTGATATAAATAAATAGATCGACACATTAACACCATAGAAGATGAAAAGATCGTCTTGAAAGTAATTAAATATTACAAAAGAAGCAATTATAATATGAAAACAAGATATATGATGATAGTTGTAGCCTTTAGCAACAACATATTTACATTAAACCTTTAAGGAATCGCGAAATTTTACTTTTTACTTTCTTATATACTGAATATAAGAATATAAAGGAATTCAAGTTATTTGATTTATAAAAAAATACTATGCAAGTAAATTTATCCGTTCATCATCGGTATAGTAACTTCGTTTTTGCTCAAGAAAGGTATCTTTTTCTCATTAAAATCTCCTTGTTAGCTGTCGCCCATCAATATTCCATTATCTAAATAACAACAGTTAGTACACAACGCCTTTAAATGTCAATAAAAAAAGCCATACCTGATATGCATCGTCTTATTTCAAAATAATAATTGAAGTCTATTATGTAGGCCTATATAGGTATATTTTCTAATTATATTGTATAAGATTTTATGTAAAATTTTAACGAAAGATCCTAAAGAAAATCAGAATATTGTTAAAACGTAATACAATGCTCAATGTCAAATAATATTTTGTCTTAGAATGATAGAATAAAGGTGATATATATATATATATATATATATATATATATATATATATATATATATATATATATATATATATATATATATATATACATATATATATATATATATATATATATATATATATATATATTTATTTATTCCTGCCATTACCAATGCTAAAAATCAATTCGCATTTGTCGCACTCGAGCAAGTGTCCTTTCTGGCCCTCGGGCAAATGGCATTCGACAAGTGATTTTCGGGAAAACGTCCGGCTTCGAAATATCACATCATTGCAACACTCGATAAATCGATTGTTTATATTTAGTTACCTAGCAGTGAATCAAGTTCCTCTAACCCATCCTGACATGCCTTGCTAATATCCATTTTAGTTTTAGAAATCAAACAATAAACCTGTCAGTGCTTCAGGTTTATTGCTTTATTCTTCATCATCTACGAATGAGAGAGTATTTTCGTTAACAAAACCTAATTTTTTTAAAAGAAAAAAAAAATAACAATTTGATCGTTTGCATTTCATCACAGAAAATGTTAACACAAATGGCAGAACTAGGTCAAGTGGTTTAAAAATATAGTTTTTTTTGTTTTAAAAATTGTATAGGCAACGTTTTAAGAATAAATTATCATGTATTGGGCTGTCACAATTTTGGTCACGGAGTTCCTATACAGCTAATTAATGTTTGTCTAACGAAAGTGATTGTTTTCAAGTTCTTTCGATTTGTAACGTTTATAAATGTTATAAATTCCGGTGTATAAATCAGGGCACAAACCGTACAGCACCGACGGGGTGTCGGAGGATTCACTTGGATCGGTTTAGTCATCGAAGAGATGCATGAAAGACACTCTTCACGCAAACCACTTTTATGATTAGACACATGAATTAGGCGGTAATGTCGGTGTTTTTTATTGTAGAGTATCGATGACGTCATTTCTTTTGAGAGGGTGGGGCGCTTAGACGTTTTTCCGTGAGGGAGGGGGGGGGGCTTCGTCCCTACCCGAAGAGATGCATGAAAGAAACTCTGCAAACAAAGCACTTATAAGATTAGGCAAAATTGGCTTTTTAATTCAATGTTTACTCGAGAATATCAATGACATCATGTTAGTGTGTGTAGTTTCGTGGCTTTAGAATATTTCCTACTATATGTTCCATCTGGCGTCACGTTTCGTTTTTTGTATTACTATGCATTTTTTACTCTGCTTGTGTTCTCTCTATAGTAAAAACGTTCGCAACGGATAGATCAGATAAATAGATACACAGATAAATAGACAGTGAAACTATTTTATATATATATATATATATATATATATATATATATATATATATATATATATATATATATATATATATATATATACATATATATATATACATATATATATATATATACATATATATATATACATATATATATATATATATATATATATATATATATATATATATATATACATATATATATATATATATATATATATATATATATATATACATATATATATACATATATATATATATATATATATATATATATATATATATATATATATATATATATATATATATATATATATATATTTCTGGCGGCTACATCATAGATATGAGACGTTATGGATGTCACTTTATAAGCCGAATCTGACAGTCCTTACTACGTAGCTCTGAGCTTGCTCAAATTAATAAGTATAATTGAAAAGTGTAACGCCCAAACTATTGTTCAACACCATATTAATATATTATTATGAATTTATGAATTTTTTTTTTTTGGAAAAATACGAATTTTAGTGCGAATTCTAGTTCACAATGTACCTTGAATAAAAACATTGAAAAATATTTAATATAAAAATATCTAATATAAAACTAACCCCAATCAAATGCCACTATAAAGATTATCGAGAGTTATTAAAAAGAAATAAATTTAAACATTCTGTCTTAATACTGAATGTAAAGAGATTTACAACACACTTACTGAAGTAACTATATATTAACAATAGTTGAGCACATAGACCTATCTCATAAAATTGTTGACACAACTCAGCTTAGGAAACTGAAACTGAAAGTGAAATTGAAACTGAAAATCAATTTTCAAGATTCACGTCTTGTTACGTTGAAAAACGCTGTAAAAATAGAATCGGGGATTCAATAGAGGAACGAAAATGAAAAACACGTTTCTCAATATTTTAGGGCAGATTAAATATGACTCTATTAAAAGCAAGAGGACAGACGGACGGACCGACGGACGGACAAACGGACAGACGAACCGACAGACAGACGGACAGACGGACAGACAGACAGACAGACAGACACACAGACAGGTTTTTTTCTCTTTATCATCAGACAGGCAAAGGGTTTAGCAATTCTATCATCCACTTAACCAGCCACTGAACACACATGTTTCCGTCAGGCTTTTACTATCTTTCCAGTCCACACCACCATCTAGTTTAGACACGAGGGGCGGCTTGGTCAGGGGTTGGCTCTATCCCTAGACCACGCTGTTCCACAAAACGGACTTATTTAATGCCGGTACTGAATCCTTTGAAGAATAGTATAGAAAAATAGATGATTGAGAACAGCCAGCCGACCTAATGTCGGAAACTTTAATTAACATTTTGCCAATTAGTAAAAAGTATCATGAAAACAAAATTATCCAAAATATACTTTTTCAAGGTTTACGCTGTGAGTACGTAACGAATGGAGCAAATACAAAAAAATTCCGTTTAAAATATGAACATCGTGAAGGTACCACAGAGTTATTCAAGCGTTATATTTGGTAAGAATTACTTACCTTTCAACTATTTTATTTTTCGATTAGTTTCATGGTCTACGGGAAGGAACTAAACATATATTTTCAGATTTTAATTCGACTGGATCACCTCCCCTTAATGTAATCAGGATTTATCTAAATTTTTATTTATTTTGCAAGCATGAAGAATCGAAAGAGGGCATTTCATTTTTTTCGCCAATGTCTTCAAAACTACTTTCCAATGTATAAATTTTAAAGAGTAAATGTTAATATTATTTATTTTTTGTTTTCCCTTGAAAAAGAAGACTGCTTTTTCTTTTTCTAAAATATCAGTAGTTTGCTTACATAAATGTAATGTAATCTAATTCAAATATTTGCAAATTTTGCTTATTGTTATTTACATCAAATTACAAAATCTTACTATAAAGTAAAATTTGTTATGATAAAAAGGAATTAAAGTAATACAATCCCTGGATTTAATTTTTCCAATAATCTTACACGATTATATCCCTTTGGATGTACATATTATTTACCTTTCGATATGTCTAACAGGAAAGTAAATATCAGTTATGTTTTAAATGAATTTTATACGTATCTTTATAAATTTTGATTCAAATTTTAAAAAATGCGTAGGTTATGAAATTTTTAATTTGTCGAATTAAGGCTAGTCTATGTTTTAGTGTTACTGGCAGACAATAAGAAACGACATTGTTGCAACGGAGAAAAATTGTATTTAGATACGTTCAATCCATATGATAGACCCACCTCTAGCATTGTCTGCCCAAACTCTGGAATTGACTGATCGACCACTAGCAGTGAGTGTTCCACACAGCCCTAGCAGTGTGTACCCCACTCCTAGCAGTAAATACCAACCCTTAGCAGGGTGTTTCCCAAACCGAGCAGAGTGCACCCCACCCCTAGCAGAGTGCACCCCACCCCTAGCAGAGTGCACCCCACCCCTAGCAGTGTGTACCCCACCCCTAGCAATGTGTATCTCACCCTTTGCAGTATGTACCCTACACCCACCCCATAGCAATGTGTATCTCACCCTTAGCAGTAAATTGTTCTGCACTAACTTACGATTTACACACACTGTTTCGTAATACAAAAAACCTGCATGGATCGTAGTGTGAAAGGTAGGCAAAATTTCAAACCTCTTCCATGACTTATCGCTCCCCATTAAATAGTCTAACAGACTGCCCACAAAAATCATTTTGTAGTTACCAAATTAAAAAACAATTTCTTCTCTTAATTATTATTAAAATAAGGCATACTGAAGAATGACACAGCTTTTAAACGGAATGTATTTAAAGCTATTAATATAAATAAAAAAGAAGAAGAATGAAATAAATACGGGAAACTATATCACTTATCGAACCTCATTGTGTAAATACGTTTGACCAGCTTGCCAGATATAAAGTTTAAATTTTAAGTTAATCATTTTAACCCTTTCCTAATTTAGTAATTCAACAAAGGGGTCATCCATAAATCGTAAATTAATGCAGAACAATCTCTGCCGTTGTGTATCTGTTTATTTTCTTACAAAACCACTATTCTATCAAGGAGCAAAAAAAAAAAAAAACCCACAAATTTTCTCCTTTTTTGGTCGGATTTTGGGCCCCTTAAATGGCCTGGGGCCCCCTCCATTGCGGGGTCTGGTGGTATGTTAGTTTCGCCCCTGCTAAATTTAATTAAATTTTATCCTTCTGATAGATGTAGTGGGGGGGGGGGTCTCGGTACGTGCGGTCATGCATTAAAGTAATGTTTGGCTTCTACGTCAATCATCTGTAAAGTATTTCGTTTTCTAGAACTTTCGATTATTCTATTTTAATACCAAAAAAATATAGCGAAGTGGGCATACACAAACTTAGTAAGAACCTCTGAAAATTAGCCTTGAAAGGTTGTCTTCTCAGAAATGACGTCAAAAACTTTCAACCCAAATCGATGAAATACCTGATCACGTGCTAGACACACGACCGTCACGTGATACAAACCTGCAGCACGCCTCTGCACGTGTCACCACGCCACACAAAGTCAATTGGCTAAACTTAATTGATCTTCTTTCAGACTGATTTGATTCTCATCGCGAAACGGTTTATACAACAAACGTTAGGCAAGACAGCGACAATCGATGACGGTAATGACGTGTGCGTCTTTTATCGTTTCATTTGCGTCTTGGCGACTTGGCGGCAAGCGTAGTGGCGTAGCTACCGTAATGCTAGCGTAAGCAAGGCATAGGGGCCCAAGGCAAATAGGGGCCCTTTTTCGAAAGTTTAAGGGGGGGGGGGGGTGCACATCGAAAGTCTGAAGGGGGGGGGGGGTGCAAATTGAAAGTCTGAGGGGTGGGGTGCAAAACAAAAGTCTGAGGGGGGAGTGTAAATCGAAAGTCTGAAGGGGGGTGCAAATCGAAAGTTTGAGGGGGGGGGTGCAAATCGAAAGTCTGAGGGGGGGGGGGTGTAAATCGAAAGTCTGAGGTGGGTGTAAATTGAAAGTCTGAGGGGGGGGGGGTGCAAATCGAAAGTTTGAGGGGGGGGGGGAGGATGCAAATCGAAAGTTTGTTCCCGGTCGCCGGGAAGGTTCACTACACCTCTGAGGGGCCCACTAACACTTTTTGCATAGGGGCCCAAAATTCCTAGCTACGCCACTGGGCAAGCGTCGACAAAACTACCCGAGCCCGAACCCAAACCGTAACCATATCCTAAACTCAACCCAAATGCTTACATTTAAAACCTAACTGAAACATCCAGCTCTAACTCTAAGTCTTACCCGAACCCTGTGTCCAGAGGCGTAGCGATGGGGGGGGGGGGGCAGGGGGGTACATATGTCCCCGGGCGCCGACCTTAGGGGGCGCCAATATGGGATGTAAAAACAAATTAAAACGTCATTTTAGCTGCATTTTTGCTATATAAATAGTTTGACGGGGGGTGCAAATCGAAAGTTTGACGGGGGGGGGGGGGGGGGGGTGTAAATAAAAAATTTGCTCCCGAGGGTGCGCCAAATTGAAAGTTTGTTCCCGGTCGCTACGCCTCTGCCTGTGTCTAACTTATCTCTGACCTATTCTTAACTATCTCTAACATAACCATATCTCTAACCCTATTAGATATCCTTAACTATCTCTAACCTAACCATATCTCTAACCCTATTAGATATAGGGTCTCAATTACTTATGGACACGGTGTGGCGGGTTTTAATATTTTACTACATCTATTAGACGGGGGGTGGGGGGTAAGAGGGGGTGCAATGTGATTAAGTGAGAACAAGTAATTGATCTGAAGGTATTAACGTGGGATTCCCAGGACGTAATAGACACAGATAGTTAGTGTCCTGCTCCTTGAAAATAAGCTCTTCTGCACACAATACAATGCATTGAAGCAAGCTATGTATCGTCTGTACCTGCTGTTCATCTTATAACTAGGGGTGGTTCGTGTGTGAATTCCAGACTCATTGTTGTATCGTTTTTTTTTCTGTCAATGTCATGCTGGTTGTTTCCACAAACTTTTGGATACCTCCCCTACATCCCAGCACACCTGCCCCACTTTCCACATTTCACACACTACCCCCATCCCCCCCCCCAGGACTTCCACACTTTTCCACTCTGCCTATATTATCTGGGCTGCTCCCAATGTGACACCCACCCACACATTACCCACACATTACCCACACCACCCATACACCCCACACCACCCATACACCCCACATCACCCATACACCCCACACCACCCATACACCCCACATCACCCATACACCCCACACCACCCATACACCCCACATCACCCATACACCCCACACCACCCATACACCCCACATCACCCACACACCCCACATCACCCACACACCCCACATCACCCACACACCCCACATCACCCATACACCCCACATCACCCATACACCCCACATCACCCACACACCCCACATCACCCATACACCCCACATCACCCATACACCCCACATCACCCATACACCCTACATCACCCATACACCCCGCACCACCCATACACCAACATCACCCGTACATCCCACATCATCCATACACCCCACATCAGCCATACACCAACATCACCCATACACCCCACATCACCCATACACCCACAACACCCATACACCCCACATCACCCATACACCCCACACCACCCATACACCCATACACCCCACATCACCCATACACCCACATCACCCAGACACCCACATCACCCATACACCCCACATCACCCATACACCCACATCACCCATACACCAACATCACCCATACACCCCACATCACCCATACACCCCACACCATCCATTCACCCCATACTTCCCGCACACCCCACGTAACGCACACTTCTCAAACTTCCCACAATTCGTACTTCCCAAACTTCACACCACCAACACCACACAACCTATACATCCCACACACATACTCCCCCTATTTACAACCTCCAACACATCCCCACACCTCCCAAACTTCCCACACAGCCAAAACAACGCCTCGCCTACCTACCCTCTCACTCCACGAACAAAATCCCTGCACACAATCCCGACATTTACTTCTAGTCTCTGTGTACTTCCCATAACAATGTCCATTAAAATCTTGTTATCACATATAAATCCCTGCGCTCAATTACACTTAAGAAATAAACGTAAGCACAGGTGCCCCGTTTATTTTAAATACCGGAGTTAATTTTTAGGACAATTACCTGGGGTTATATATTATTGACGTTTGCCAACGCAGGCAACACTTAGTAAAGGACTAAGGTTCAAGGCAACTTTATATTCTAGGGAATGTTTCGTTTATTTTAACTACATTAAAACAAAACCTTCACGTAAGTATTACTTGATTGTATGGTCACAATACGTCGTTTTTTCTCCATTTTAGTTTTAAAAATGTTGCTATTACGAAGCATATAAATCATTTATCAAGGGAACATTCAGATTTTTATCTTACTTCATTAGAACAATACCTTCATGTCAGTATTACATGCTTGAAGCGTCACAGTTCGTTGTTTAGTCTTGCTCGTGGGTCTCCAAACTTTTCAGCCAGAGGGCCGCATTAACTGTTTAAATATCAGTTCGGGGGGGGGGGGGGGGGCAGAGTTTCTTCCAGGCACCTCTTCGAGATGGCGGAGCCCCCCCTCCCGACGAAATATAATTTATATAGAAAAATATACAAATTTCAAGTTCCTCCCCCCCTCTCCCCGGACACTGTCGACAACATATTCGAGGTCCACAGGATTCTGTACACTGCTAATGTCTACTATTTAGCACTCAAAGCTGGTGAATAATACAGAACAGGAACACTGGTTGTATAATGTTTTTCTCATTCGCTTGTCCAACCAAGCCTTTCTTTAGGCCACTCATGTTAGTCCAGTCCAAGTTATAATCAGCCATTCTTTTTTCAACTGAATGAATATATCATCTTCGGTAACGGAGCCACACAGGCTATCTAGGCAAGCCAGCACTGTGTTATGTTCATGTTTTTTCCACACCTCTAATGAACACAAAAAGAGGTGGAACAGCTGTCCAGCAACTCATCCATTGCACCCAAAGCTACATTTTCAAATTGTTTTGAATTTTCTGGGCAAAGTTCCACAGCCACCTCCAAACACAATTTTTTTTTCCGTGGACAAAAAGATCTCCGCGGGCCGGATGAGAGGACCTCGCGGGCCGCATACGGCCCGCAGGCCGTAGTTTGGAGACCCCTGGTCTTGCAAAACCGAAAAGTCTCGGGTTGGAACCACCAACAGATGAGGCTCGATAGCTGGGAACAGCCACTCTTCTTTGAGAGATAACTCCATAATCAAAACAACTCTGCCTTGTAGTATATTTTTTGATGGACAAAGGCTACGGAACCAAATCCACTCAGAATAGTAGGCTGAAATCGGAGTCGAAGTCCTATATGGTGCATAACCAGACACGTAATACTTAATTGAGTTGAAGGGAATCCCTTCCAACACTAAAATTAAGAACGAAGAGGAAGAAAAAGAAGAAGGTGTTTAAACTAGCTTTTAAATTTAAAAAGTTATTGCTAATAACTTAGTGCATTCAATCTATTTACGTGCTTAGTCAAAAGTACAATGTATATAGAAGTCAAAGTGTAAAGCCTGATTTGTCAAAATAAAAATAAAACAAAAAAAAAACGTTTTAAATACCAAGCTTTTAAATGCACTGAAAATAGACAATAAAACTAATTTGCTTTCTTTCATAAAAAGGTTTGGTCGCTCGTGAGATCTTTAACATATTTTAGCAACCAAAGCTTTTATGAAAGAAAGAAAATTAGTTTTATTGTCTATTTTCAGTGCATTTAAAAGCTTGAAACGACTGGGTGTCTAAGTACTGACAGTAAAATAGCAGGGTGTCTAAGTAATGAAGTGAGGGAAACAGCTGGTTGTCTAAGTAATGAAGTGAGGGAAACAGCTGGTTGTCTATGTAATGAGGAGAGTTCGTCAGCTGGATGTCTAAGTAATGACGATGAAACGGTTGGGTGTCGAATTCATGGCAGTGAAACGACTGGTTGTCTATGTAATGATAGTGAAACGACTGGTTGTCTAAGTAATGATAGTGAAACGACTGGTTGTCTATGTAATGATAGTGAAACGACTGGTTGTCTATGTAATGGTAGTGAAACAACTGGTTGTCTATGTAATGACAGTGAAACAACTGGTTGTCTATGTAATGATAGTGAAACAACTGGTTGTCTATGTAATGATAGTGAAACAACTGGTTGTCTATGTAATGATAGTGAAACGGCTGGTTGTCAAATTAATGACTGTGAAACGACTGGTTGTCTAAATAATGATGTGAGGGACACAGCTAAAAATGTTATAACTTCATGTTCCACAAAAAAAATGTGCTGTGTCTGATGTTGTTTTTGTGTATCCTGACAGGTTTATCAAGAAATAAAAATGTTTGTTGGAACATTGTTGCCATGGATTATCGTGATCATCGCAAGTTTGCATGCGAAAAAAAGTATTAATGAATTTTTAATTTTTTTATTTTTTTAAATTTTATTTCTAAGAACTTAAAAAATACAACGCAGTTGTTTTGTTGAGGGTATCTCCCGAGTAAAACAAAATCACAAATTTGAAAACATCGATTGCATAAACTTTAAGTCGTGCCAGATTGTATGGTCTCGTTATAAACTGCGGTCAATAAAACAGACTAAAAGTGGAAACATTAGCTTTGTAAGTGTGTGTGTGTGTGCGCGCGTGTGTGCGTGTGGGGGAGGGGGGTGTCGGTTGGAGGCGTTGTCGGTGGGTGGTGTTTAAACAGGGGTGAGTTTATTTATTATTTTCGTCCTTATAGATCATGACTGAAAGTATTATGTGTCATCGGGTGCTCACAACAATAATACAATTTAGTACATGCAAAGGCGTAGCGAGGGGGGGGGGGGGGGAGGTGGGTGGTGCGGACCACACCGGGTGACACCCTTTAGGTGGGTTACACTAAGACAAAAAATAGCAAAATGTATACCGAAAATGATGATTTATCTTAATTAAATGTTTAGAGTGAGTTAAACAGTCTTTTAAGACAATGATAGAAAAAACACGCTACATTCATCAGTATTTATAACCGACTAAAGATAAACATCTGTAGTATTATCTGAGCACAGTATAAAGCAATCACCGGGGAGGGGAGTGATCGTGGAAGGGGGGAGGGGGGGGAAGTTATATTAATCCAACTTTGCAAAATATGCCTTAGGAAAACGGTTTGGTTGAGAATCGTAATAACTTGTAGTAACTCTGTTGATCCATTTTAGGGGGGGGGGGGGGGGAGAGAGAGTAAAGAAATTAAATACATCCAGAAAAAAAATTATATTTGAATACATAAACACATGAGTATACAAATACTTGTGTATATGGATAACATATATATATATATATATATATATATATATATATATATATATATATATATATATATATATATATATATATATATATATATATATATATATCTTTCGCGGGGAGGGGGTGACACCCGACCTTGCTACGCCACTGAGAACATGGTCGGGAAGTCCTAGGTTCGAACCCCGAGGAGATAAAGCCCGTTAGTTGGGGACAGCAGCTCTTCTAAGAAAGAAACTCAGTCATCGATCAGGAGTTGGCCCTTAATGCGATACGAATACAAACTCTGGATTCTCTTTTGGCTGGTCTTGCAAAACAGCTGATGCGTGTCTCTTTGGTAAATCAGCTGTGTGCAAAGAGAGAGAGAGAGAAAGAGAGAGAGAAAGAGAGAGAGAGAGAGAGAAGGTAGGGGATGATATAACTTACTTCACAGCTCTTGCGCCCTAGTTTCCAAGGAACAATTGTCCAATCGTCTATCAGACTATGGCGTCATTTATTCATGCCTACTCCAATTCAATTACGGTAAAAGAATATTATATTGGTCTAATTGACGATAATTAAATTAAACCAGCACGACTAGAGTAACTGAACAACGTAGTTGAAGCCACGCTAACGTCGGATCGGCAGTCCCACAACTGCATTCACAAAGTAATAAAAAGCACAACAATAGTAGCAGAAACAATAGAGCAATGAAGTGGCGGAACTAGAAAAAATGGGCCACCCAGAAATTTTTTTTAGGCCCCATTTATATATATATATATATATATATATATATATATATATATATATATATATATATATATAACACAAACACAAACACAAAAGCAAAAACAAAAGAAAACCCAAACACATAAGAAAACACAAAAATAACACAAACCCGATGCAAACGCAAACGCAAAAAACACAAACAAAAACACAAACGCAACACGCAAACATAAAAAAAAAACAACAAAGTGCAAACAAAAAAAGCAAAAAAATTACAAACGAAAACGCAAACGCATAACATAAACACAACTTAAATGTAAACACAAACACATATTGCTCACAGTCTAGCCCGGGCCGCTAAATCGAACTCTGCCGGGGCTCCGGCGGAACTGCCTAATTTAACTTGGTAAACGACTATAATACCCCAACTTATCCATAAAATACATAAAAAGGCAAAAATTTAAAATATCCGTATTTAACCTACCACGGTGCATTTTATCAAACCCATGTTAATTATAATATTCTAACAATTATGTCCTCTGCAAGTCCGCAGAAATTGCTTTCACATTTTTAGCGTAAGTTGAATTTCTTTTTAACTTACCTTCCTTGGCAATATTATTGTAAAAGATTTTAATTAACTAGTTTCTTTTACCCTACTGTTATTATAATGTATCCAATTTTTCTATTAATCTAAGCGAAAATAATATTTGACATTGATCCGTTAATACGTTTTAGCAATGTGCGAGTATTTAATATTTGATTCACGTTATACGAAAGAGTAGAAACAGTGCAAACTAAACAAAAAGTAATGAAGTCGTTATATTAATAAACCCTATCCATATATAATAAGACACTACGATGCAAGTAAAAAGCACGACATGTGATGTGTTTACTTTTATGGTTCCAAAATCTTCCGCGATGACGGACTGACACACTACCAGCCCGCTTATATTACATATATATATATATATATATATATATATATATATATATATATATATATATATATATATATATATATATATATATATATATATAATACTACTACTAAAATCAAGACCTTTAATTATGTTCGTGAGACTACAAAATGTTCAAAACGACACTCGATAAATCATTCTCTTTCAGATCAAAGTCCGGAGGATTTCACATCGCAAATTACAAGTGCGGATGATG